GTGTGTTTGTCTTATTTATACAAAAACGATAATAATAATAATTATTATTATAAATAATTAAAAATTTTTTTTTTTTGGCGAAAATTTTAATTTTTTTTTTTAGTTTTTTACAAATTATTATTTTCAAATCGTCCATTTTTAATTAAAATACTAATAGTAGTAATAGTAGTAATAATAATAATATTATTAATAATAATAATAATGATGAAAACAACGTAGTAAGAAAATTCAATTGAAATTTTTTTTTCCTTTTTTTAAATTAATTGGCACAGTAAATGTTTTTTTTTTTTTCGTTTTCCCTTTCCCCCCTGTCCCCTTTCCCTTCTTCTTCTTATGACTTTTTTCTTAATAGAAAAAAAAAAACAAAATAATAATAATGATAATAATGTTTTTATTTTTTTTAAATGCAAAAAAAAGGCCTCGCAAATAACATCGAGTACGAATTTTTTTATGTAAATAATTATAAAAAAGTAAAAAAATGAAAATTTTCTCTCTTCTACCCCCCTTCCCGCCTTTTCACTCCCTTCTCCCTCCCCTTTTTAAAAATTACATTAAAAGCTCGAGAATTTTCCTTTTTTTTTTTTTTTTTTTTTTTTTTAAACATGGAATGCCAATCATTTTCTTTTCGTTTCTATTTTTTTTTAATAAAATAAATAAATAAAAAATACAAATAATAATAATAATAATAATAATAATAATAAAAAATAAATTAATTAATTAATAAAAAAAACATAAAATTGGTCCCTTTTTATTTTCATTTTCATTATTATTATTATTATTATTATTATTTTCGTTTTCATATTTTCAATATTTTAATTAACAAAAAAAAAAAAAAAAAAAAAAAAACAAAAATAATAATAATAATAAATAATAACGACTTTGGCATTTTCTTTTTTAAAATTTAAAAATAAATTAATAATAATTAATAATTAATAATATTAATAATAACGGTATTTAATAACAAAACAAAACTACGTGTCTTATTTTCATTAAATAAAAATTCAATAATAATAATAATAAATGTTTTTCCCTTTTATTTTTTATTATGGAATGTACATAGTTCTCGTATTTAGCATAATAATAATAATAATCCGAACCGTTATTATTAATAATAATAATTATCATTTAATAAAAAAAAAACAAAAATTTATACGAATCACACCAAAAAACGGTTTCTTAATCCCCCCCTCCCTCATTTATTCATTCGAACGTGTAATAAATAAATATTATTATTATTATTATTAATTAATTAATTAATTATTTGGTTTAATTAATGACAATTTATTATTACGATTAATTAATAAAATATTTATATATGTATATATTAACACGTTAAAAAAAAACGGGCTCGTAAGCTCAACATTTACTTTGTTTTTTTCTTTTATTTAACCATAAAATATTTCCTTCTCTCTCTCTCTCTCTCTCTTTTCTTCTTCTCTATCCTTTTCTTACTTTAACAATTTCCTACCGTTCATACATAAAAACAAACAAAAACAACAACAACAACAACAGCAAACGATTTTTTTCCCTTACATAAATTCGCTTTCTGTTGTTTGTTTTTTGTTTGTATTTTTGAGTAATAAAAGTAATAAAATGTTTGTTTGTTTGTATGTTTGTATGTACATATGCAATCCAATTGTTTTTGATTCGTTATAAACATTAAAATTATTTTTTTGTTTTGTCTTGTTTCTTAAAAAAAATATAATAATAATAAAATAATGGCAAAGGCAGTCGATTCGTGTAAATAATATTTAATAATAATAATAATAATAACAATGATAACGATTGAAACATTATCATTATTTTAGTTTTATTATTATTATCTAGTGTAAAAAAAACTTGACGGTTCACCGTAAAACCGTTTCTTTAATTCGTTTATAATATTAATAATAATAATTTTAATTGTAATTGTAATAATAATAATAATAATAATAATAATAAATTATATCCTAGGCTTATACGTTAGATTAACGTGATAAGTGGTAACGTCCATATCGGACACTTCGTCACCTTTGACGTCATCAACTTTCATTTGCTTACACGATTGCGAATTTGAATTCGTTTCGTCACTCGGAAAACTCGAACCCCCCAAACTGTTTTTCTTTTGATGATGATGATGATACATGCTTTGCCCAACGTTGGAAGATTTCGAATCGAGTGACGTCATTTTCAACAATCTCACATCTTGAGCGTGACTCAAATTCCCGAAAGCATCTTGCATTGAATTTTGAGATCCGTACAGGGTTCCCAGGACGCCATCGTTTCCGTTTCCGTTTCCGTTGTCTTCTTTTAAAAATCTTCCCGCGTTCGCGTTTATCCTTCCCTCCTTGAGCGGCTCCGCTCCGGTGGTTTCTTCTTTCATTTTCATTTGTTTCACGTCCGAACTCAGGAGTTTTAATGTTTTCCCACCGCCCTCGTGTTTGTCCTGGTGGTGATGAGATTTTTTAAACGATCCCGAGGGACTGTGTTTTTTCGTCGAACCGTTTTCCTTGTTCCTTTTGCTCGACGTCCTGTGCACGTGTCTCGAATTGTTTCGACGTATGCTCGGCCTTTTGTGTATAGATTCCGCGCTCGCCGATAATCCCGTCCCTCCTTTTTTTGCAAGCATTTTCAACAAACGATAATCTACATTATAAAAAATTGTTAAAGAGGTAGCAAAATTTACAAAAAAAAAAAAAAAAAAACAACCGGCTCTTTTAACACCCAGTGGTACCAGCCCCCCCCCATCCCTTCTAATATAAATAGAACCCTTGTAAAAATTGAAAAAAATTTTTTCTTTTCTTTACCAGCTGATGACCGACTGCATGAGCTCCTCAACAAATATATAGACGTCGGATCGCTGTCGATGGCATAGAGCAATTGTCCGGGAGCGATGAGAGGGGATAGAAACCATTCGGATCTAGTTCTCATTCTGGCAGTTTGTCTTTCGTGAACCTGCGTGGTACGAAAAGGTCAAAAGTTTACATGGTATAACGACGCCATCTATCCCTTCAAAACATAATTACATTTCTTTCACAATACCTGAGGCAAATACGACAAACTTTTTGTGCTTTCTGCATATCGATTAACGGCTCTTAATTCTTCTAGAGTCATGTGATGACTTATTGTAACGCTCGAACTTGACGATCTCGAAGAACCCTGTATGTAAACAGTGGTACCAAACGGTTAAACCTTTTCGAAATTAACGTAAAACGAATTTTTTTTTTTTTCTTTTATTGGCAAACCTTAAAGAGTCCATTTTCTTCCAAACTAATCGATAACCTCGTATAACTTTCCAACAAATTTGTTTTTGGAATCATGCTCATGGATGCGTTACAAGGTTCTCCGGATAATTCTGGCAAGTGTATCAACGCCGGAGTGCTTTGACTTTCTTCCTGTTGGCTCATTGCTAAAGTCCAACAAATAAAACAAAAAAAAAAAAAAAATTAAAATCCCCCAAAACAAACAAACAACAAACAAAAATAAAAAAAAAAATTAAATAAATAAATAACTAAATAAATAAAATGTGCTCAAATGCAAAATAATTAATAATAATAAAAAATTCAATAGATTTACTCACCGTATGACGTCACACCCTCCCCTCCCGTTTATTATTAATAATTTATTCCCATCATCCCTCAATAAAAGCAGAAGAATTTTATTTTTTTAATACATCATGCAAAAGCATTAAAAATAAATTTTTTTTTTTTTTTTTTTTCAAAAAAAATTTCCGCAACTAGTAGAGTTAATATAAAAAAAAAAAGAAAACAAATAATAATAATGATAATTATAACTGTGCAAAAAAAACTCGATGCTTAAAAATACATTTAAAAAAAATATTAATTAATTAATTAATTTATTAATCAAAGTTAATAATATTATTATTATTTTTTCCATTTGTGCCCTTTCAAGTATAAATATAAAAATATACAAAATTTTCTTTTTTTTTGTAAAAATAATAATAATAATGATAATAATCATTTTTCAATTGAAATGCAAAAAAAAAAAAAAAAAAAAAAAAATTTTTTTCAACGTTTAAAAATTACAAATTATTACAAAAAATTAAAAATTAAAAATTGAAAACAAATTAAAATTGTCATTCATTTCCGTTATTTAAACAATTTAAATAATAATAATAATAATAATAAAACATTAGTAATAATAATAATAATAATAATCGCAAGAAAACAAAACACGTGTTTTCAAACGACATTATTTATTATTTACAAACTTTTTTTTTTTTTTGAAAAAAAAAAAAAAAATTATTACATAAATACAATATATATATATCGATCGATATATCGATCGATCAATCGTTAAAACAATAAAATAAATTATTAAAATTACAAAATTTATATACCACATACATACAACTCTTTTTTTTTTTTTTTAAATAATTTTCAATTTTCAATTTTTTTTAAAAATTACATTTATTTGAATGACTTTTTTGTACTTCGTACGATTGTATAAATAATTAATTAAATAATTAATTAATTAATTAATTAATTTAAAAAACAGTTAATAACTCGTTATTAATTTCAAATTAATAATAATAATAATAATAAACTTTTTTTTTAAAAAAAAAAAAAAAAAACCACAACAAAATAAATTCATTTTCTTTCTTCCTTTTTTTTTTTTTTAAAGCAAACGTTATTATTATTATTATTATTATTATTATTATTATTATTATTATTATTATTTTAATACAATTTTTTAATTCACTCATTCACTCACTCACTCATTCATTCATTCATTCACACATTCACTCACAAATTTTTCAATCAATCATTATTAATAATAATAACAGTAAACATTTGTTGTACTTTAAAATCAAATTAAATTTAAAAAAAAAAAAAAAAAAAATTAATGGTAATAATAATAATAATAATAATAATAATAATAATAATTTACATTTACAATTAGTAACAAAAAAAAAAAAAATTTAGTCTTTTATGTACGCACATTTCTTGAAAGAAAGCCGGGGGCGGGGGGCGGGGGGCGGGTGGGGGAAAGAGATGGGTGAGATGACCGGAAACTCTAACATACACACATAACATACGCACTCTCTTCTTGCAACCCACGCACACGCACACACGCACACACGCACACTTTTTCTTCTTCCTTTTTTTTTTGTTTATCCGGTCACTATACTGTGTCGTATAGTTTTCCCTTTGAATTATCATATTTTTCGCAAGTGATCCAATATCTGTCCCCCTGAGAGAATTGACCTAAAAAAATAATGAAATCGGTTTTTGTTTTGTTTTCTTTCTCTTCTTCTTCTTCTCCATTTTATTTTTTTTCCTAAATACTCCTATAATTAACGTTTAACAAATATTAGGACAGAATAGACAGACAGTGGTAGGTGTAATAATAATAATAATAATAATAATAATTTTTTTTAACAATTTTATACATAATCCATCCAACATGTGATGTTTACTCCTCCTCCTACATCATCATCATCATCACCATTTTATATTATTAAAAACAAAAATAAATTATTAATAATAATAATAATAATAATAATAATAATAATAATAATATTTTTACACCCACCACTGCTACATATAAAATTTAATACAATTTTTTTTCTTCTGGCAAAACGTTATTAATTATAAATAAATAAATTGAAATTTCTACAAATACATACATAATTAATTTTTTACATACAATATACGGGAAAAAAAAAAATAGTTCCATAAAATTCTATTAATAAATAAATAAATAAATAAATAAAATAAGTACCATCGTCATATTGTGCGTAAATTAAATTTAAAAAAAAACTTTTCATTTCCGGTTAGCGGTAAATTTTTTTTTTTTTAAATCCATTTCCGATCACTTCCGGTGATTCCCCTCCTCCTCCCACCCAACAAAACGTACGATTAGATCCCTCGCGTTTTTTTCCGTTTTTTCAAAAAAGAACTTTAAATAATAATGATGATGATAATAATAATAATAATAATTGATAAAGCACACCGATTAAACGCGCAGAGGAAATCATTCCGCGTTATTATTATCATCATCATCATCATCAGACGAGGTCTATGAAAGAAGATTGTTCGATAGTATTATCTCTTCTTTTAACCGACAACACCAATTTAAACTGGAAGAACTTACGGGAAACGAAACAATCAGGCGGATATCGGAAATTGTATATCCAATCTTCTTCCACTTTCAATATCCTTCCCGTGATTCTTGCGTAGTATTCGTAATTTTCCCTCCCGAATAAATTCGACACACCAAAATTATCGATCATGAACTTCATTATTTTCGTCGCCACCTGTAAATTGTAAAAATAAAAAATAAATTAAAATTTTATTCCTGTTTTTTTTTTTTTTTCGGGGGGGAAGGGGGAAATTCGTTAAAAAAAAAATTAAGAGATTTTTAAAACGAAATTCAAACGATAAATTTTTAAAGCTAAAACAATTATTATTATTATTATTTTTTTTTTTTAATTAAACCTTAGGAATTGCAGTTTTGTTTTGACTTTGACGCGTACACGTGTGGAAAATTTTTTTTTTCATCATTATCATCATCAAAGTTTACTTCCGGTTTATCGAGAAATTTAATAGGAAAAGTTTACAAAAAAAAAAAAAAAAAATTTGTTTCAAGTGAAAATTGCAACCCTTTTTGTTGCACGAAAAAAAACAAACAACAACAATTTTTCGATTGAGTTTTAAGGACGACAAACAGGACAAAAACAAACGGAAAAATTTACACCGTTTGTTTTACAAGAGAAAAAAAGAAGGAAAAACAAAAACATTGCATAGGAAACGCAAACGAACGGCAATTAATTAAATAATTATTTAATTAATTAATTTAATAAATTTCACGATCGTACTTTTAATTGATTTCAAATATTTAAAAATTAAACATTTAAAAAATAATAATAATAATAATAATAACAACGACACCAATTTTTACAACTATCCATCTATCTATCCATCTATCTATGTTTCACGGCGCAATAATAATAATAATAATAATAATAATAATAATAATAATAATAATAATATTATTATTTTTAATGATAATAAAAAACAACAAAACTAAACAAAAAAATTACAGGGTAATGATAATTGTTGTTCCTATTATTATTATTATTATTTTTTTTTCTCAATGTCATTATTATCTCTCCATCGTAATGGGAGAGACAGAGACAGAGAGGGAGGAGAGAGAGGGGGGAAATGAAATGACGTCGGATCCGGCAGGTTTTCGGTAATAATAATAATAATATTAAATAACTACACTTACCGTTATTTCAGCCTACACAAAATGCAAAGATAAAACAAAAAGAAGAAAAAAATAATATATATATATATATATGTATAATATATGTTTGTATACGATGCTAATGTATACGTTTATATATATATTAATAGCTTTGCTCGAAAAAAAAAAAAAAAAAAACAAAAGCCTTATAATTTATTAATAATCCGAAAATTTATAATTTCGCGTAATTTGCTTATGTACATAAATGCACCACCGGTTTACGTGGAAAATTTAAAATAATTCATTCAATTTTCCGACTGATACGCACACACACACACACACACGTTACAAACAATTAAACATCATTATAATTTACACTTTCATGTAAAACGACTATGAAATAATAGTAGTGACAGTATCGAAGACAGCAGAAGTAACAGCAGCAGCAGCAGCAACAGCAGCACCAAGTACTATTTTTACAATCATTTATACAAATTTATTATTAGTATACATAGGAGGAAAAAAGCAACCTGAATTAAATAAATAAATAAATAAGTTAATAAACGAAAATCAAATTAAACATTTACATTTATCCTAATAATATGTATGTGTTCGTTACATTTTTTTTTTTTTTTTTTGTACAGTAAAAATCATTGGTTCTAAAGTTTTCAACCCTTTCTTTTTTCCATATAAAAGTCATATTTATAACATTTAATTCTATGTAACTATTGTCGCGGAAACGAGGGGAAAGGGGGAAAGGGAGAAACGTACCTTAAATCTTTGCACGTCTTCCATTCTCGCTTGTTTCCCATCGGAAACGCACGTTTGAAAAAAACTCGGAGCCACGGATACTCCCAATGCTTCGGACGTCATACCCGTTTGACACCTTTCCGAATTCGTGGCTATGACTCTGAACGTGCCAAATAGTAGTACGAGCAACCTTTGTGTGTGTATCGGCAAAGACACGATTAACCTGAAAATAAATCGAATCGTCAACGATCAAAGAATGACTTTTTTTTGGTATTTGAAATAATAGATAATGTAAAATGACTTTGCATGGGTATGACGACGAAGACGTCAACGACAAACAATAATTGCAACAAATCCAATTACACAAGCATTCATTTACAAATATGTAAATTTGTAAAAAAAAAAAAAAACAATTTCCACCATGGATGGTCAATCGCGACGTTTGCACAACCGGAAACGTTTTCTTATAAAACCTTAAATTTTCTCTCACCTGTGAATCATGTTTCTCTGTTCGTCTACGTTTTCCAATTCGATGACGTGAAATAATTCTTGTTCTCCCTCTCTTCCGAAAATACCTCCTGGTAATTTCCTCAAAAATTTTTTCAAAACTGATGCGATCGTGTAAACGGAAAAATTATCCATGTTGACGAGACGTCCAGCCTTCGCAAATTTTCCCATAGAAAACAATCGAAAAAAAAAGAGAAAAATTAGAAATACGCGCATACATTTCGTACGCGTGAACGAGTGCTTGCGTGCGTGTGCGTAAAAAAAAGGTACCTGTAAAAAATGTATGAGTTTTTTCATGTTACCCTGATGTCCGGGAGCTCTGAAAACATCCTTTTTCTCCGGCGCTTCTTTATTCAATTTCAATATGAGAACCAAAAGGGATCCGGGAATGTCGTTTTTGCACACTTCATCGATGGGAACACCAAATTTGACTCTAAATAAATAAAAAAAAAAAAAAAATGTACGATATGAGTTAAATATATAGTAAAGGCGTCGTCACGACCAAACTTTCCCAATGTGAAAATGTAAAAAAAAATTTTCCGACTCACTTTTCCAAACGTCTCGGGTACGGAACGGACGGATGTCCACAAGATGTAACCACATTACTAAATGTCGCAGCCCTACGGTGCATTCTTTCAGTCCAACTGGTCATTGCCTCAGAACACTGCAATCAACCCAAAAAAAAAATTTTATTTTTTTTTAACAAACAAACGCGTCGACAAACGAAATAAATTATTATTATTATTATTAAAACCAATAATTACTCATAGACCCCCCAATCGTTGGAAAAATAAAAAAATTTTTTTTTTTTTTTTTTCCTTTTCGTTCTAACAAACATGGAAGACGTATCGATACTGATTTATTTATAAAAAAAAAAAAAAAAAAGAAAAAGAAAAGCATGATTGTGTTATAGGATTAGGCCATTCACTAATCGCATCGGCATTTAATTAACATTTCAATTTATAAATGTTTAATAAACAATGTCGCATAAGGAATCCGCGATATTCCATAATTAATAATAATAATAATTAAACCAAAACAAATTTTTTTTTTAAAAAAACTTTAACTTTCTGGAAATTTGTCGAATTTAGTCACGGTTTTTTTTTTTTTTTTTTTCATTTTTCTTTTTCTTTCCTCATTTGAATCACACTAAAATTATTTAATAACAAGTTAATAAACTCTCTTCTCCACTTATTTATTTATTTATTTAAATGTTTTCTACATAAGTTACGTAATCGTTTGTTTTTTTTTTTTTTTTTTTACATAATTTTTTAACGCCGTATAAAATAAATAAATTTTTTTTTTTTTTTTTTTTTTGCAAGAGCAGCAGCTGCCGTTCGAAAAAAAAATAGACGTTAACTTTATTATTATTATTATTATCATTAAACACAACAAGGCTACTTACGGAGTATTTTAAAAATTTATCCGAGATTCTACCCGATTCCTTAGGGATAAATATTCGAATTTCGGTTGTTCCACTTATTATAATATAGCACCACATCAATTCTTGAAGGTCTTCCTGAGTCCATCTTTTTATTCGATGGGAACGATTTGTCTCCTGAACTGGGCTCCAGTGACTAACATCTTTGGAGTGGCCAGGTCAGAAGCAGTGAAATTCACATTCTCGTCGAGCTGCCTCAGGTCGACAGTAGAACAAGATTTGTTTTTGGTTCTTACTTTGTCTTGTTCTCATTTTTTTTTTTTTTTTTGCTCTTTTAAGCCAACAGCACGTGGCGTTCTCAAACGGTCACCCATCCAAGTTTGCACCACGCCCGATGCTGCTTAACTTCGGTGATCGTACGGGAACCGGTGTGACCAGCACGCTATGGCCGTTGGCTTTTATTATTATTATTATTATTATTATTATTATTATTATTATTATTATCATTATTTCTTTAACCACAACAGTCTCTTACGATTGTAATTTAAAAATTTAAACGGTTAAATTTTTTTTTTTTTAAATTTTTTTCTATTGGTTCTTCACATATATAATATTTTCGTCTTGTTGCCTTATGCAAGACGACATATTTAACATTTATTAATTATTTACGTTTAAATATCGATTTAACTATTTAAAGATTTTAAATTTTATTATAAAAAAAAAAAATAATAATAATAAATATGATGATGATGATGATTCACGGGTAGGGGTGAGGGAGGTGGAAATTTTTTTTTTTTTTTACGTTTCCCTCCCTCCCTCCTCCTCCTTTTCTTTGATCGTTCAAAGCTCTCGTTTGAATTTTTTTTTTTTTTAAACTTAATCCAACAACGTGTTTTAACCAAATGAGCAGCAATAATCGGGTCGGCTTTATTTTAATCTTCAAAGAATTTTTTTTTTTTTTTTAGAAAAGAGAAAGAGAGAGAGAGGAAAAAAACCAACAGAAAATACAACACGACAACAGGAGCAACTCAGAAAAAAAAAAAAAAAAACCAACCGACCAACCAATACAAAACTCTACTTTTTTTATCCAGAAAAAACTATAATTTATTGAAAAATAATAATAATAATAAGAAAAAATACAACACGTGACTATGAAAAAACCGAAAAATTAAATTAATATTATTATTATTAATCAAAGAGGAAATTTTTAGTTGCAATGATCATATATATATAACCGACAGAAGATTTAAAAAAAAAAAAAAAAAAAAAAGTCACTGACCAATCATTCATAATTCAATAATGGTTGGTTATTTTTTCATTGTCATTAATTCTCTCTCTCTCTCTCTCTCCTTTTTAAGGCTATCAACGAAGCAAAGGCGTTTCCAGGGAAATAAAATTTTTACTAAACATTTTAAAGGTGTGCGTTTGTTTTTTTTTTTTTTTTAATAATTTAATCACGCGTACATGCGTATACGTACATACGCACGCATATGTAAACGATTGAAAACGTTATGAGGAAATTTAAATTTGAAACTTATAAATTCTTAGGTATTTGTTTTTTTCTCCCCCTGCCCCCCGGCCCCGGGGGCCCCCTTCGTCTGCCTATCGATAAGTTTTCAATTTCTAAAAACAAATTATCCGAATAGATAAATGTAATAATAATAATAATAATAATAATAATAATAATAATAACAAACGAGGACAAAGTAGTAGTTTAATCGTCTGGAAAATAAAAAAACATGTAAATTCCTTTCATTCTTTTTTTTTTTTTTTTTTTTTTTTTTTAAAAATTATGTGTGAAATCGATAATTTTTATTTAAACGATTGAAATTATTCATAGTGGTATAATTTTGACCAAATAACCCTAATTAAAAAGACAATTTATTATCGGATGGAATGTTTAAAGTCCATCAAAAGAACACAAAGAAGACCCCAAAAAAAAATTCAAATTTTTTTTATTTTTTTTGTTCAACCCTTAATCGCAACAACAAAAACAACTTTGTGGCATCCATTGATAACAATACTAATAATAATAAGTATTATTATTATTATTATTTATTTTGACAATGTTTATGTGTAATAATAAATAACCCCCCGTTCCAAATTTAGTCACAATTATCTAAAATGACACCCCAACTACCACTACTCTGCAAATATAAACTTTGCCAAACCCAAAAGGTTTCTTCCTTTTCCTTTTTTCTTTTCTTTTCCTTTTGTAAATCACACGCATATTATGCGTATAAATATGCGTATTGCATAAGGTTAATAAAAAAAATGTATAAATAAAAATTTTTTTAAATTTTTTAATAAAAAAAAAAAAAAAAACAGGTTTGTATCTGCACGTTAACATTATCATTATTACTTTTTTTTTTTTTTTTTTTTTACAAATGAGAAAACCTACCAGCCTCAATTTTTTTTTTATAAGTCAAAATTTAATAATATAATATTTTAGTATATAGTATACTAATTTAATAACTAATAATATTATCAAAACCGGTGATAATAATAAAAATACTAAAAAAAAATTTTTATAAAAAATAAATTTAAACCAAAGAAAAAACTCATTTTTACATACCGATTCGGTTAAACACATTTTTTTTCTTTTTTTTTTATATCCAAACGTAATTAATTTCGATAAAATAAAATAAATAAAAAGTAAATAAATTATTTTAAATAAATAAATAAATTTTTCAAAAACGCGATCAACAGCGGACCTGCACAACAGAGTTCACATTATCGAATGACCGAGAAAAAATTGACAGTGAACACGATCTGGGCAGATAAGTAATCAAGATGATTATAATCCTTTGAGAGACAAAGAGAGAGAGAGAGAGAGAGAGAGAGAGAGAGAGAGAGAGAGAAAGAGAGAGAGACAAAATTGTCTGAAGCGTATCAAAAAGAAGATTGTGAAGAAATAAAAAAAATAAAAAAAAAAATTTGTAATTATTTTTAACACCTCAAATAATAAATTTTTTTTTCTGTTGTTTTAGTTTAGTTTTTTTTTTTTTTCGATATTTTATAATATTAATAATTTGAACATCACACTTAAAGTATCAGTATGATACTCTTTTACATTGATATTAGTAGTATTATCATCATCATCATCATCATCATCATCATGAAAATGAACATGACATTTTAATATTCTTTTCAAATAATAATAATTAAATTTTTTTTTTTTCGAATGAATCAATTCCAAAATATTTTTTGGAATCGATAAAATCTCTAACACTCATTTATGATATTTAAATTTCATTTAATTAATTTTTTAAAAATTATTATTATTATTATTATTATTTATTAACACCATTTAAAACGAATGTGTGAGAAACGACAAAAAAAAAAATAATAATAATAATTACCACCATTATTTTTCGATTAATGTTTTCACTTTGAACACACACACAAAAAAAAAAATTAAATGACAACGATATGAATTGTTTTGTATAAGAAAAAAAAAACTTTTAAAAATTTATAAATAATAATAATAAAAATTACATAAATGAAAGAAAGAGGTAGAGAGAGAGAGAGAGAGAGAGAAAAAATTATAATTAGAATGTTTAATAAAAGTTGCCCCGAAACTAGTTTGTACAAAAAAAAAAAAAAAAATATTATATGTAAAAAAAACATTAGCCTTAAGGTGTATAATTTTTTTAATAAAATAGCCAATCATAAAAAACATTACAAAATGATTAAATCATGATTGCAAAGTGGGGTTACAGTCAAGGGAAACAAGCGAGAATGAATTTTTTAAAAAAAAACTCTTAAGCAATTAATTAAATGCAATCAAAATAAAAGTAAAACTAATTTAAAATTTAAAAATTCAACTTTCTCTATTTAAAAATTGGGGTTTAGTAGTAGTACATTGTACACACACACACACAAAACCAAGTGAGAGGTTTAATTAATTAATGAACTAAAACTATTTTTTCTTTTTTTTTTTTTCATAATAAAATGAATTCGATTCATCGTTACGAATGTACATCAATTTCTTAAGAATTTTTTTTTTTTGATTCGTGTTGATGTAAAAAAAGAAAAAGTACATATCCACATTATGTAATTAATTTTTATGCTTTGTAAATTTACAAAATCAATTTTTTTTTTTAATTTTCCACTCTGTTTTTTCTTATGTTTCGAATATGACTCAATTTAACATTTAAAATATTGATTGATAACTGTAAATTTACACGCTTTGTGGATTCATTCACATTTAACATAAGATAATTTTTATAAATTAATAAATTTATGTGATAGTAAATGATTGTTTAAGGTACAAATTCGTTATCATTCATACACACCCTTAATCATGTCAAAAAAAAAAAAAAAGAATACCCTTAAGGTTTTCAAAAGTCGTGTACCTTACACAAACTGACAAACAAATGAGTGACAATTAATTTATTCTAAGATGATAGTTTGAAACGATGAACAAAATAACTTACGAGAAACAAACAACAAAAAAATTGTTTACAAAAAACCGCAAAACGATATACGATTTTATAATAAAAAACAAAAAAAAAAAAAAAAAAAAAAAAATTAAAATAAAAAAAAAGTAACAATTTAACATTATTATTAATTACCTTAAAACAAACTTTATATTGATTTCTGACATGTCACCACTTAGATTTACATTTTCATTCTTTACATTATAAATATCAAGTAATGATAATTTGACATTAATTTCAAATACTTATTTAGTTAAACTCATAAAGTCACACCTCCATTACTAATGAAGCCATATTGATTAGGAAAAATAGCAATTGCCAACTTAAGAAAACTTTAACAAAAAAAAAAAAAAAGCGCTGATGTCGAGTGAGTCGCACTGGTTGTATCCTCACACGTTGAAGTTTTATTCATCTTTTCGCGCCTATACAATTATTTTATACTTTTTTGTTTTAATTATTGTTTTATAAAGTAATAATTTTAATAACCTTAACAATAATATTATTAAGTTGTACTTTTTAAGTTTAAAATTTGTCAAACCTTTAATTTTATATATGATTAAAAAATATATGTAAATGAAACACACACACACACATATAAGTTATTAAGTGCAAAATTATTTACAAGTATTTAGTTATTTTAAATTAATTAAATTATTAAATAGTGTTGAATTCATTTATCATTATGTACATAAACACAAACACAGTGTTCTATTTTGAAAAAAGGAAAAAAATTTCAAAAAGTATGTGGATTAAATGAAAAGCATGGAGAACAATCAAAATTGAATCTTCTGCTGTCTCTCTCTCTCAAAAAACTAAATTAACTGTTACAACTAATAACTTACTAATTAACTTGATTGAAAGTAACAACACAATTAAACAAAAAGGGGTAAGTAATATAAATTATACAATATCTATAGTTATATATATATGTATATTAGTATAAGATTGTTTTACACTTTACTTCCACAATGACAAGATGGCGGTGTACTATATTTATTAACATCGACTAACCTACAAGACCTACATAAATTAGCTATTTCTTTTGCAAAAAATCCAAATGTTTGTGATATTGGTAAGCAAAGATCCCTAAATGAAGTTGCTATATTGTATCCTAGTAAAAGAAAAATTATTTTTATTTAATAAGTTTTTCTCAAAAAATTTTCCAATATGTCGTAAACGATAATAATAATTTACCTAAAATTAAAAAAGGTTGTATTATACCATTAAATATTATCGTTAAAAAAGGTTTAAAAAAATAATCAGAAAATATCTGAAGGAGTCCAACTGTGAGTGACCTTATTATACTAGTAAAAAGAAACCTGGGAAGAAAAAAACAAAAAAAAACCGTTATTTTAAATTTTTTAATCACGTGACTTTTTTTAAAACCCCAGTTATTATTTACCTGTATAACTGTAGAAAAAATGATATGAAAAATGCTACTCCGACTTCGAAAGCGCCAAAAACTTCTCCCCAAAATTTTGTCGCCACTTCGTCTGTTTTTTCAACTAAACATTCCGTATATCGAACTGGATGATTATCGGTCGTTCGATAATATCTAAATTTAAAAAAAAAACGATAAATTTTTATTTTTAAAAAATTTATTATTTTTTTCATCCGGAAAAACTTACGCTGAATTTCCATGATCGAAATAATAAATATCCGTTCTTTCGATAAATTTTCTTTCTCTAAAACAATATTTTTTACTGTCTGAAATCAAAACAAAAAAAAACCGTTAAAAAAATAAGTGAGGAAAAATCAAAATGGAGGAAGGAAGGGATGGATCGGGGGGGGGGGAAATTACCCTGGAGCTCTTTTAATAATTCTTCTTTTAATTTTTTCTTATAATTTTTATCATTATCAATGATGATATCGTTGTTGTTGTTATTATTATTATTATTATTAACCATTTGAGCAATTCTATCCTTTTTATGTTCTTCAATGTGACTGTGATGACTTTCAATTTTCATTTTATCTGAAACAATAATGGTGTGGATGGTGATGGTGGTGGTGGTGGTGGTGGGGTTGTTAATGATAATAATAATAATTAAAATATACTTTCTTGTCCTGTAGGAACACAATTATCCGTTTGATTTATCGCCATGTGATTTCCATTCAGCGAAATTTTTGATTTTTTCCCATTTAAACATTCATCGGAATTTTTATCTTTTAACGAACACGTACACCTTTTTAAAATGACGACGCTGTTGTTGCTGTTGTGTTTTTTACAATAATCACAATTGCATTCGTTTCTTTGTGGATAACGAACCGTTTCCGTTTCTCCAGAACAAGTACACCTGATAACTTGTGTTGTTTTATTATTATCATCGCAACAATTTTTATCACCGCACTGTGAACTTTCTGCAGATTGTACCAAATCTAATATCATTCTCTGTAAAAGACCAAAATAATCGATTAATTTTTAAAATTCGAAAATTTAAAACAAACAAACAAACACAAAACAAACAAATTTTTTTACTTTTGGATATGGATTATAAGATTCAGGAAGTGCGTTATCCGTTTTATTTTTTCCATATTCTTTTGTTATGATTGTTTTGTCCTCACCTAAATAAATTGGAAATGATGAGAAAAAATTTGAATTAAAAAATTCTGGAGAAAAATCAAAAAAAAAAAATCAAAAAAAAAACCTTTTTGAATTTTATCAGGTGAATTTTTTTGTACTATTTTATATACGGAATGAATGTTGTATTTCCGGTGAAAATTTTGTAATTTTTCCAAAAGCGAAACTTTTTTTTGTTTTTCATGATTTTCGTTGGTATTCTCTATCGTGTAACCTTGACACACAACAAAAATTTATTTAATATTTATAAATTTTATTCAATCGATCAATCAATCAATCAATCAATCGATCAACCTTTTTCCACGTAATCAGTACAATCGCAAACGGGTTGTTGATATGATGATGTTTTATCCATTTTCGTTTGACAATGTGCCTTATATGTAAAGGGTAAATCGTAGGGTGTAAAAACCGAAGTGGGAGCACCATGATTACAATGTATCACAGTCGAAGGTGAATCTATCTCGTAATAATAATAATAATAATTAAATTTTTTAGTTTTTGCTGTCGTTTCACATCTATCTACAATACATACGACCAACCTAAACTACGTAAATCCGTTTCCTGTATTTTATTTATATTAAAATCCTGATTCCTATAATAATCTTCATTACAAACTACGTTAACATTATCCCTAGTATTTAATATATCATCTAAAATAAGGTTAGCTGAATTCATTTTCATTGTAACGGAACTTTCATCTTTTAATAAATATTTTTTTCTAAATTCTTCGAAAGTGCACGTGAATGGTTCGTTGGGGCCCCGAGAAGAGTAAACGGATGATTCCACTTCCTAAAATTTTAAATAGAAACTCGAGTACGTTGGATTTTACGATACCAGAGGGTAGTACGCAAACACCCACACCCACGCACCCACCCACGCACTCACCACAGATTCTCTTCCATCTTTTATTTTTTTTTTCAAATCTCCTCTCATTTGACGTAAAGTTTCAGGCATTGGAAGAATGGTGGATGATGTCGTATCTTCATCCGAACTGAAAACGGATGTTTTACTTCTTTCCGGATTTCCATCATTATTATAACCATTTTTAACACTTTGATCTTCCGTGTCGTTGTCGTATTGATGTTTTGAAAATTCACTTTCGGATGATTCGGTCATCTTATTAAAAATAATATGAAAAAATACAAATAATAATAATAATATTAAAAGTTCCAAAATTCCAAAAAAATCTAAAAATAATATGTCCTTGTATAAATGTATCTAAATATATATTTTAACAAAATTAAAAAATATATATGTATATTTTTAATTAAATATTCAAAACAAGCAGAAAAAAATTTTTTCAATATGAAAAAGGCGCCAAATTTAAAAATGTATTTTCGTATACAAAAAAAAATTATTCTCATCGTAATTATTATCGATTTAACAGTCGTTTCTTAACTACAAAAAATTTTTTGTCTTGAAGTAAAATTCATTCGGGATATTTTTTATTAAATAATTTTTTTTTTTTTTTTTGTTACGATTACAAAAAGTTATGAATGAAAAAAAAAAATTTATGAAAAATTTCGATAAATTATCACCGTGTAATAAATTATTCGATAAAAAATGGATTGAAAATTACATACGAGAATACGAAGAAAAAATTCGGGTAATTAAAATTTTTTTTTTTGATGATGACCTTTTAACCTTTAACTCGATAAATTTTCAATATATTAAATAATAATAATAATAATAATAATAATTAATCGAAATCAACGTAGTTGGTAACATTTTTTAATAAAAAAAAAAAATGTCTTTTGTTATTGTTTTTTTTTTTTTTTTTTTCGATCGATCACACGGTGGATCCAACATAAGATAAATAAAATTTATTTATTTATTTATTAATAATAATAATAATAATAATAATAATTATGGATTCGGGTTCGACTATTGAAAGAGAAAAATCAAGTAGGATAAGATTTAAATCCACGGATGAATCGAGCATAACTTTGGGTATTACAAGTTCTAGAAAACTCGGGTCATATCATTCCTCCGAAACTTTTCCAAATGAAACCATTGATGATATTTTAAATTCGAAAAATTGTTTTCATAGAACTTGTTGTTTTGCTTATAACATGAGGGTGAGGAAAAAGGATCGAATCCACCCATAACATCATCATCTTTATTATTATTATGTTTTTTTTTTCTCGTTAAAAGGGAAATTATAAAAATCCAGCATTGTTAGTCGAATGTCTACCGCAAGAAATATATCAAAAATTGGCAAAGATTTGGGATTTGGATCCAGATTTACGTCCGCAATTTCCCGGATATCCATGCCAGTTCACGCCTGAACAAATCGCAGCAGAAGATGAATTGTTAAATGAATATTTAAAAAATGTCGAAAGGGATCTTGGATTTTGCACGGAATTTTCCGAAGATATACACGTTAGCGTCGGATCTAAAAGCGTGTAATAAAAAAATTTTCATAAATTGATAAAAATTTAATTCACATCGATCGATAATCGTTCGATTTTTTTCGATAGGGTCGAAGAAGGACCACAAAGAGTATCGGTTTATGCGGATATGAAAAAAACAAATCCATACACGAAATTATTTAAAAGTTTAAAAATGATGCATCCGACAAAGAGAAAAAATCAAACATTGGGTAAAAAAGCTGGGAAAATAACAAAAATGGTAAACAAATACAAAATTTTCTTTATTTTTCTGCTGCTGTTGTTGACGATGACGTAAGAAGAGTAAAATTTTTTATAGATAATTGGTAATTTTTTAAAATGGTACGAATCGTTAGGAGAAGACGGGAGTGATACGTTCATTGACGAATCGACAATGAATCAATTATTCAAAGTCGGTTTTGGTATGCCAGCTGCCAAATCAATGGCGGTTAGAATAAAAGAAATACCTACCGTACCTGATTACGTTGCAATTGCAGAAGAAAAACCGAAGGTGAGTAAGGAAAACGTTTCCTGCTGCTGGAGCAAAAATTTAATAATAATGATTATTTCTTTTCAGTTTGCAACTTCTTACGCGCTTAGAAAATTAATTAAAGAAGATATCAAAAAGGAAAACATACCCATGAAAATGTTTGCTTTTGGTAGCATGTTACCCAAAGAGAAAAATCTCAGGTAAATTTCCTCCCAACCCCACCCACTCCCCGAAGCCCATCCCCAACACGACATCATCATTCATTTCGTTTGTTACTTTCGCAGATACAAACCCCCAAGAAATTACGTTTATAAAACGTGGATGGAATGTTCTAGAGTTCCGAAAGATTTACAAACGATGAAAACGATTTGGTCCGGATTGGAAAAATTAAGGTATGATTTTTTCTATTCCTCTTACTTTTCATATTTTCGAACGGAAAAACAAAATCGGTTTTCTATTTCAGATCCACGATTGCATTTTCCAACTGGTTGAAAAATAATCCTGATATAACACCACCCATATACCTACAAGAAAAAGGACTCTTGAACATAAATTACGAAGAATGCAAGTATCATACAAACACACAAACACAACAAAAATTGAAATTTTAAATAATTAAAAAAAATTTTATCCCGATTTTTTTTTAAAAACAGGGAATGCAATGTATAAAGGTTTCGAATTAGAAGTTACTATGGATGTTGGTCCATCGGAAACAAAAATAGGAAGAGAAAAATCTTTGACAAAAGAATCATCAACAAACAGTTATGCGGATTCATTTCAAATAACAACATCAGAAGTATCCGTGTGATGATGAAACGGAAAGAGAAAAAATAAAAAAAAAAATTTATCCCATAAGTAAAACATATGTAATTAAATCACGTGTTTTTTTTTTTTTCCTCTTACTATTCATTGTAAAATTTAAAAAAAAAAAAAAAAAATTAAATTTTGTCGTCTGCTTTTAATTACAACAACAAAATTATTTTTTTCTAAAATTTATAATTTACACACACGCGCGGGTTTAACTCATCGAATCGTTTGTTTGTTCGACAATTATTATCATTTCCGGTTTGTAAAAAAATGTAATATTAATTATATATTTTAAATGTATTTATTATTATTATTATCATTACTGACGATTGCATCGAATTAATTTTTTATTTTTTATACCCGTTTGTTTAATTTAGAAATAAAAAAAAAAATAATTTTGTTGTACAACAAACGCAAACACGCAAATAATATTATCATCATTGAAATTGAATTGATAATTATCAACGGTTTGTGATAATGTCATTTCCGGAAGGGTCATAAAATGTGAATGAATTAGGTATATACAGGCACACACACACATTGGGTGTGTAGTATACCCGTTTGTTGTGGTCCATTTAAAATAAAAATGGCGGCCAAATAAAATTAATTAATATTCTTGTCCCTTTTCTCCCCTTCTCCCCAATTATTTGGGTTTTAAACTTCTTCAATCGTTTTTCTCTTACTCAAAATTTTTTTTTTTTTAATATAAATAATAATAATAATAATAATAATAATAATAATTTTAATAACAAACTTTTTTTTTTGTTTAGGTGTTAACATATGACATCACACGCGTACACAGAAAAACGGAAATGAAACGATTTGGTCACACATGAAGTATTCAAATGAAATCGGGATGAAATTGGTCAGTTGTTGTTGTTTGTTGTTGTTGTCGCTCTTCATTTACCAAATCTGCAACAACGCATACACGTCATTAAAAAAATTTTTTTATCGTCGGGAAATTCTACGGGAAAATTTCAAGTCTCTCATATCAGTAAGTTTTATTATTATTATTATTATTTGTTTGTCTCTCGTTTTTTTTTGCTCTTTTTTGTGTGACTACACTTTGTCGAAATTTGTTATTAGCGGTTTTCGAATCGAGGGAACCGCCCTTTCCCTCCGCACATACTATCATTATTATTATTTTTTTTTAATTTAAAAATTTTATCGAACTTTTTTTCATTTTAAAAATTTACAATTTTTATATATCGCGAATAAAATTAAAAATGAAAAAGGTAGAAGTGACAGATTTGCATAATTAAGGGTTGTTGTTGTTGCTCTGGTTGTTCTGGTTGTTGTTGTTTTACGTAACAAAAGGATTTTTCGAATGACTTTTTTTAAGCTTAAAAAACAATTTTAATATTTTTGACCAAAGTTAACGAAAAAAAAAAAAATTAAATTTTTGAGAGGCGGGGGTGATGGTGAGGGTGGTGGTGGTGGTGATGGTGGTGGAGGTGAGGGTGAGGAAAGAAGGGGAGAAAAAATGGGGGGGAAAAGATTTTACGGTGACAATTATAAGATGCGTTCACGATTTCGTTAAAATTTCGTTTCAATTCCATCCTTATTTTTTTTAATTTCTTTCTCTCTCTCTCTTCTGGTTTTTTCTTAGCTTCCTTCTCTCTCCCCTCCCCTCTCCTCCCTTCATCCGATCGAAAATTTTGTTTTTTACAATTTATTATTATTATTATTATTATTTTAGAAGAAGAAAAAAAGGATAAAGAGAGAAATGATGTATTTTTTTTAAAATAAAATAATTAAGTTTCGAGAAAAATATCGAAAGGGTGTGTGTGTGAAAGAGAGAGAGAGAGAGGGAGAGAGAGAGAGAGAAAGGGAGAGAGAGAGAGAGAGAGAGAGAGAGATGTTTTGGTCCAGAAAAAAAAATTAAAAATCGTTCAAAATTTTTTTTTTCATTGTAATTTTATTTTCTCCTTCCTTTTCCAGTATGAATAAAAAAATTTTCTTCTAATTGGGATAGGAAAAAGGGTTTGTTTTAATCTTTTTTCTTTTTTTCTCTCTCCACAAAATAAAAAAAATGAAAATTGATGTTTAGTTAAAAGTGTCCAATGAGTGTGGAAGTGCGTGTGCGCGTGTCAAACGTGTTATGGGATAATTAAATGATTTCTCCTTTTTTCCCCCCTTAACTGTTCATACACTAGAAAAAACAAAAGAAAAATATGTCGGAGATTTAAATTAATTGTTAAAATTTAACAAAACACAAAAAAATTTCCGTTTGTCGTAATAATAATAATAATAATAATGACGTCAAGGTCAATGAACTCGAATAGGTTTTTAAATAAGTTCAATGACATTTTCCCAAAAAAAAAAAAATTTGTTTTGTGTTGCTTTGGAAAAACTAATACTCGCATTACTCGATTTGAAATAATTTGGGTACGTCATTTTTTTTTTTTTTTTCGAATTATCATTATCATCATTCGTTTTTCCACACTACCTCTCTCACCTACCCCTCCTCCTCCTTCCCCCCGTAAAAAAAAAATAAAACGATTTCGTATTTGTTTTGATTTTAAGAAGGAAAAAGAATCGTTCGAGTGTTTTCATTCATTCAAAAAAAATTTCAAATTGTTTCGTTTAAAATTTTTTTTTTTTTGAATTGACTCTTAAACGGACAGATTTGATTTTTATTAAACTAATAAAAATAACAGAAACAGAGAAAAAGGAAAAAGAAAAAGGAAAAAAAGGAAAACAAATAATCTCATCCGGTGAAAAATTTATTTATTTTTTTTTTTTTTTACCACAACTAAAATACATTTTCTTATTTATATTTTTCAATTGTTTACTACGTCTACTACATCGTCATTTTCAACGTATTTTTAATGTTTTTACTCCCTCGCCCCCTCCCCGAAAACTCCCCGTTTTATTCCCCTTTCCCTCACTTCTTCCCCTCCCCCCTCCGACGGTAATTTAAACGAATGGTAAATTTTATATAAATAAAAAGAGGAAAATTTTTTTTCTTTTTTTGTCGTGTCGTAAATGAAAAAATATTCAATTAAAGGGCCCCAAAAACAAAAACAAAAAAAATTTTTTTTATTTACTCTATGACTTTTTTTTTTTTATTACGCGATCATACCGTCGTTAAGCGGATTGAAAACAAACAAAAACAAAATGGACGACGGAAAATGATTGGAAAATTAATAATGATGATTTTAACGTTAAAAATTGGTTTTTTAAATTGAAATTTAAATTTTCTAACGTGAAAATTTATTTATTTAACGTGAATTTTATCGATTTTTTATTTTTTCGGGGAGCCATAAACAATTAAAACGGGTAAAAACGTAAAAAAAAATATTTTTAATTAATGACGTTTGTACGTCGAATGTTTGTAGTAGTAGAAAAAAAACGCGTTTGTTTTATTTTCAAATCGTTTTTAAATTTTTTTTGTTTGTAATGAAAATAACAAACGAACAACCCGATTTTAAAATTTAATTTAACCGTGAATGAGATTTTTTTGTAAAAAAAAAAACCGGAAATTTTTATGAATGAAATTTTTTTTTTGTTAAAGGTGTTCATAACCGTTACGGCACGCCTCGGTTTTTCGTTTTTTTTTCTCCGTTTTTTCGCCTATAAAATTTAAAAAAAAAATTGTTAATTATACGAAAGGAAAGAAAAAAAGAGAAAAAAAACGTTCGAAAGAAGGGGGGAGTGGAGGTAGAAAGGGAAGAGACAGGGATAAAGGAAACAGGAAACGGGGAAAAATTTTAAATCGTTAAAACGGTAAATAAAAATCGACGTTGCACTGACCGAAAAATAAAAATAAAATAATAATAATAATAATTTAAGGTAAATGACGTGCCTAAAAATTGAGTTAGATGAAGTCATCTTCAACTTCGAAATGTATATATATATAGGAAGGAAGGGGAGATGAAAAACGAAAAAGCGGAAAATCAGAGAAAGACAGAAAGAGAAAGAGAGAGTGAGAGGGTAAATATAAGAGAAAGAGCGTGGCGTGTCTTTTTTTTTTTTTTTCAGGGAGAGAAAAAAAGGATAGACTCTAAAGGAAGGTGACGGTGGTGATGGCGGTGGCGGTGGTAGTGGTGGTGGCGGTGGTGGAAAGAATATTTCGACACGGTAAAAGTGAAAAACGGGAAAAGGTTTCGAATCGTGTAACTTGACAGTTTGTACGCGAACGTTGAAGTGAACGCATTTAATAATAAAATAAAAAAAAATTATTTTTTTAAACAAACAACCGCCAACCCTACGCCACGTTCGTTCGTCCGTTCGCTCGTCCGTTCAACGACAACCGGTAAGTTTATAGTAATCATCATTATTATTACTATTATTATCATTATTTTTAAATTTATTTTAACGACATTTTTTCCCGAGTTTTTTTTTTTTTTTTTTTGTTTAAATTTTTACTTGATGAAAAACAAAAAAAAAAAAAAAATCGACAAACGTTTCCTTTTTTCTCTCTCCATCCCCTTAAGAATTATTATTATCATCATCATTATTATCATTATCATTATTATTATTATTATTATTATTATTATTATTTTTAAACAGTAAATAAATAAATAAATAAATAAAAAGTTTTAGTTGGTTTTATTATTCAAATTTTATTTATTTAAATCAAATTTTTTTTTAACGTTGATAAAAAAAAAGATTATTCGTAGCAGACGTTTATTAATAGTAATAATAATGATAATAATAATTGTTTTTTTTATTTACGTGAGGGGAGGGAAACCCATAAAATTTTTCATTTTTCACCGCGTGGAAATAAAAGAATAACAACTACAACCAAAACCATAACAACACCAACAATAGAATTTAATTTTCCTATTATCGATATATCGAATCGAAATTTTTTCGTACGAGTTTTCAGACGATTTTTTTACGACTTTTCCGCTTTTTATTATCATTATTATTATTATAAATGAAATCATTTTATTCGAATCGATATTTAAAAAATATCATCATCATCATCATTTAAACAATTATTATCGTTATTATTATTTAATTTAAAAAATTTTTTGATTTTTATTAAAAAGAAAACTTGTTATTATTATTATCATTAAAATCGATCACGTTGAGGGAGGGGGGGGGACGTTAAAAAAGTTTTTCGTTTTTAAACCTTCGTGTCATCAGACTTTTTTTTTTTTTTAACAAAACGAAACTTTTTATTTGATTCTATGAGAAAAAAAAAAAAAAAACAAAAAACAGTAAAAAGTGCGAAAAAAAACAACAACAGGAGGATGGAAAAGCTCAGGTGAATGAAAATCAACTTTAGTCGTTAAAAAAATTTTCTTTTTTTTTTTGTACCTACTTTATTGGATTTTCCGGGTTACAAAAAAAAATTGAAACCAATCTATTTTTTAAAATTAGTTTTTTTCCTCTTCTTCTTCTCCATCTCCTCCTCCTCCTCCTCCTCCATCTTTTTTTTTTTTTACCTGACTTTTAAAATAATGACGATGATGATGATGATGATGTCATAAATTTAAAACGTTATAATGGTCGGTGAATCGTTTTTATCGATATAAACTTTATTATTATTATTATTTTTTTTAAAGCCCCCCCCAAAAAATTTTTTAGAAAAAAAATTTTTTTCCTTTTTTTTCCTCCGTATGATCCAAAACTTTTCTTTCTAGAATTTTCCAAAAAAATTTTCCAAAAAATTATCATCGAATTCTTTTTTATATTCGCAAATTTAATTAATAATCATACCTTTATTCGATACCTAAAAAAAACCTTCGTGATAATAATAATAATAATAATAATAATAATAATAATAATAATAATAATAATAAAGCCAACGGCCATAGCGTGCTGGTCACACCGGTTCCCGTACGATCACCGAAGTTAAGCAGCATCGGGCGTGGTGCAAACTTGGATGGGTGACCGTTTGAGAACGCCACGTGCTGTTGGCTTAAAAAGAGCAAAAAAATGAGAACAAGACAAAGTAAGAACCAAAAACAAAATCTTGTTCTACTGTCGACCTGAGGCAGCTCGACGAGAACGTGAATTTCACTGCTTCTGACCCTGGCCACTCCAAAGATGTTAGTCACCGGAGCCCAGTTCAGGAGACAAATCGTTCCCATCGAAAAAGACGGACTCAGGAAGACCTTCAAGAATTGATGTGGTGCTATCTTATAATAAGTGGCACCACCGAAATTCGAGTATTTGTCCCTAAGGAATCGGGTAGAAACCTCGGATAAATACTTAAAAACTCCGACAAGTAGCCTTGTCGTGTTTAATGGTGGATAATAATAATAATAATAAAGATGAATTTTCATAGAAAAAAAGTAAAGAAAAAAAGGTTTGAAAGGATTGTTTGTTGTTTTTGCTGTCGTTGTTGTTGTCGTGTGTTTAACATACGGAAAAAAAACCGGAAAAACGTTTTTTTTAAATGTAATCATTCCCGTTTTATCATTTCAACAATTTCTTCTTCCCACAGAGATTTTTTTTTGTTAAAGGGGGGAGGGTTAAACATGACAGCTGTCATTGTACTAGATATTGTCATATAAAACAATATGAGTGAGTGAGAGAGAGAAAGAAAAGGAAAACGATGACGACGATGACGATGATGACGACTACCTCCTTTTGTCTACCTTTTTAACAATTTATTATTATTATTATTATTATTATTATTATTATTATTATTATTATTATTATTCACGTTATCTTCGAGTTTTTGTTATATATTTATGCGAAATAAACAAAAAAAAAAATTTTTTTATCTTTTTTTAAATAAATATTAACAATAAACAGTACAAAACGTATTCAATAAATTCAACAGCAAATTTAAATAGTAGCAAAAACTATTTTCTATCTCTCTCTCTCTCTCTCTCTCTCTCTCTCTCCCCCCCCACTCTCCCACTCTGTCTTTTTTCGTTAAATAATATTAAAAATTTCAGTTTAGTTTGATTAACTCTCTCTCTCTCTCTCTCTCTCGAAAAACAAAAACAAAAAAGGAAAATTCAATATTAAATAAATAAATAATAATAATAATAAAGGTAATAAAAAAAAGAAGAAGGGTGAGGGGTGAGGGTGAGGGTGTGCGCGTTCATAAAAAAAAGTGACGCAAATGGAAAATATATAAATAATTTTATTCATTTGATGACGAGATGCCTTTAAATGTTATTTAATAGTAATAAAATTGTCATCAAATCCCGTCTAGCAGAAGGAACAAAACAAAATTTTTTATTATTATTATCATCTCACACTTGCATTGCTTCATTTCTGCACACGTGCACGTACACGCACACGCACACGCATGCAATTATAAAACCGAAAATTTACTTTTTGATTTGCATACCGTTGGAAAAGGGACAAAGTTGATTGTGATGTACGTTACCCGATAGATAAAATAAATCAAAATACGTTTAAAAAGGATGAAAGGGTGTGAGAAGGCGGTGGTGGTGATGGTGGTGGTGTCGGTGAAAGGGATTCGGGAATAAAATTTAAAAAAAAGGGAGGGAAAGAAGTCACGGGGGGGGGAGGAATTGGGAGTCAATTGTTAATAAACGAATCATTAAACCTTAACAAACGCACGTAATAACGCCTATAAGCACACGCGCACTCACGCACGAATGCAATTTTTTTAATTACGTTGTAAAAAAAAAAACCATAGAGTAAAAAAACAGAAAAAAAATTTAAATTTAACGTTTTTTTTTTTTTTAAACGGGATTAATATTATTAAATATTTTCCATTCCGGATGGTTCGGATGGTTAAACACAAAACTACTTCCGGTTTTTTCTGTTTTTTTTTTTAAATTACAAGAGTAAAATATCATCACAAAAATGAGAAATAATAATGATAATAATGATAATAATAATAATGATTTATTACTTTAAAATTTAAAATTTTTTAAATAAAATAAAAAAAATGAGTAAAAACGAATTCGATTCCTTTTAAAAATAAAATAATTTAGTTAGCCATTCCCGTCTCATCTTTTTTTTTTCTTCCTTTTCCTTCTTCCTGTTTTTCATCATTACCTTCTCTCTCTCTCTCTCTCTCTCACTGTCTCTCTCTCTCTCATCATCATCATCCTAATTTTTTTTCTTTCATATTTTTTTTCTCTTTTCTTTACCTTTCTTCTTCAATTTTTCTTTTTTTTATTTTTATCACCCTTATCGAAAACTTATTTATTTGAGACTTTAATAGAAATAATAATAATAATAATAATAATAATAATAATAATAATAATAATAATATTTTTTTGAAGTATCGCTAATAAGAAGAAGAAAAAGAAAAAGTCTCGAATGAAATGAAAATTTTTCGTTTTTTTCTTCAAAGGGCAATAATAATAATAAAAAATAAGAAAAAAATTTTTATTTGACGCTTTTTTATTTTTTAAATTTCATTATTATTATTCTTATTCTTATTATTATTATTATTTCCAAAATGTCGTCTTCGCGTCGTCTGATTTTTAAAATTGTTCATTTTTTTATTTATTTATTTGTAATTTTTATTATTTTTTTTTGATTTTCATTCGTTTTGAATGAGAAAAATTTTTTTTTGGATTCCGGGAGTTCCCTTCTCGTATTTTAATATTTATTTAAATTTATAATTTTACTCCCTCCCCTTCCTCCCACATTCCTCCCCTCCGTCATCCGTTTAGTTTTAACCGTTTCTTAATCTCTTTCAAAATTAAAATTTTGATTAAAATAAATTATTTTCTTTGTTATTCCAAAAAAAAAAAGTTTTCCCTCGCCATCTTTGACCGAATCTCCATTTCGCGTCCTAAAAAAAAATTCCCCTCACGTTTACCCACGTAAAAACTAATTATTATTATTATTGTTTTTTTCCAGATTGTTCTCCAGTACGGATTTTATTTTTTGAAGAAAATGAAAAAGAACCTACACGTTCCGGGTTTCTTGACAATTTGAACCTTTTTTTTATATTTTATGGTTCGTTGTCGACGAAACCTGCATTGTGTAGGATAAAACGTTCGTCAGCAGACAGAAGAAATACTATTCAATCATCATCATCATCATCATCATCATCACTCTTCTGGTAGAATTCGACATAATAATAATAATAATAAAATATACATGTAAAAATTTTATTAAAAAAAAAAAAAAAAAAGAAAAAGAAAAATTAACGTTTTTTTTTTTCATTTTTGATTTTGACATTCGTTTTTGATTTTCTTCTTTTTTTTCCATTCGTTTTCCTTAACCCTACCCTGCTACCCTACCCTGCTACCCTAACCTGCTACCCTAATCCACCCTTACATCTTCTTCTCTCAGTCGATTTCGTGAAAAATGGATTAAATAAAATTAAATTTGAAAAAAAAAAATTTTTTTTTTTGAAATTTTCCACAGCTTTCCTTCTTTTCTCCCCACCTCACCCCCTTTTTTTAACTTTTTATTTTATTTATTTTCTTTTTTTTTCCCGATGTGATTTTAAATTTTTATTAATAATAATAATAATAACAAAATAAAATAAATAATTTTTTATCTTCGATCGAAATGAAATTATTAACGTTTTCAAAAAAAAAAAGAAAAAATATTTTGTTTAAAATTCCCGCTTAAAATTTAAATCTTGTTTGATGATAAACATATGACGTCATAATTTGTTTTCAAGTCGGCCATTTTTGTTTTTCTTTATTTTTAAAAATGGCGTCCGTCCGATCAAACGTGAGACAGTTTTCATCATAAACGCGTAATTATTACTACTTATTCTTACAAGTAAAATTATTTTATAACCGGATGTGATTGTTTTGTTTAAAAAAAAAACAAAATGGCGAATGTTAAGAGGTTTAAAAAAAAATAAAACCAAAATGGTGGACGGTGAAAAGTTTAAAATAAAAAAAAAAAACAAAATAGCGGATGGTAAAAGGTTTAAAAACAAAAAAACAAAATGGTGGATGGTAAAAGGTAAGAAAAAAAATTAATAATTTTTAACATTTTTTTTATTTATTTACGTTTCATCGTTTTCTTCCCCCCATCTTCTACCCCACCTCACCCCCACCCCTCTTCTCGAAACAACGAACCTTAATAAATTCTATAGAAATCCGTTCGTTCGGAAAGTAAATAATAATAATAATAATAATATATTATTATTAGGTTTCTATCCCGATCCTTGAGAAATAAGAGTCATTCTCGAATAAGTTTTCGTCTTTTTATTTTTTTTTAAACCTATGACGTCACATCAAAATTTTTTTAAGTCTTCCCGAGAGTCCCTGATTATTCTCGAATTTTTTAAAGTCTGGAGTAAGGAACCGGGATGATAAAAATTGGGCATCTTTCAAAAAAACATTATCATTATTATAATCACACACCTTATTTTATTATCATTATCTTAATTAAAAACCGTTATTTAAAAACCGTTCGCGTTTCAAAACTTTTTTTTAAAAACAATACGTTGTTATGACGTCACAAAAAACCGTTAAAATTTCGTTTCTTTCTATTTTTAAATTTAAAAAAAGGGGATGAGATACATTGTGATCGGTTTGGTGGGTAGGTAAAAAAACCTTTTAGAAAAAATTTTCCCACACACGTGGAAAACACAAACACGGTTTCGAACCCGTTGGAAAATTATTTATATGTAAAAACCGAACGTCCTTTTTTTTTTTTAACTTATTAAGAAAAAAGAAAAAACCAGAAACGAACGGATGATTAATTACCGAACGAAGTGAATCAAAGGACACCACTCGCGTTCACATATATATACACACGCGCGCCCACGCACCCACCCACCCACGCACACTTTCGAAGCGGAAATGATGATTATTCTTTGTGTATTTATCAAAGTGTAAAATAATTTCACAAAGTATCATTATCATTATTATCATTATCATTATTATTATTATTTTTGTATTCGAACGTAATCAATCGTGAAAACTTTTCATAGTTGAATTTCTTTTACTAATCCGTTCTCTTGTCCTTTTTTATAATTAATTTGTTTATGTTTATTTATATACACACACGCATAATCGTTTTAACTCAGTCACACGCACCCCCCTTACCCCCCTGCAACCACGCACACACGCGACGATTTCGCACTTAATTAATAATGTAAAAGATGTAGGGGGGGGGGTGGAAATACTTTGTGAATAATACTGGAAATAGACGAGCAAAAAAAAAAAAAATTTGAAATCATTCGAAAATCCTTTCATCTGAAAATTTACAAAAAGGAAACGGAAATAGATATTATTATTATTATTATTATTAATATTTAACCATCTACCCTCTTCGCGCCCTTTCTCCCTCCCTCATTCCTTCCCTCTCCCCTCTTCCCTTTGTTCTCGTTTTTCGGATATTTTTTTTTTTTTTACAACGAGTTAAAGAAAATCGTTTTCGATTTATAATGATAATAATGATAATGTTAATAATAAGTAATAATGATAATGATAATAATGATTTCGTTTCAACGTTTTATTTCTCTTATTTATTGTATCGACAGAAAATTGATAAATTTTTTTGACTTTTTTTTTTTTTTTGTTTAATTATATCTAAATTAAATTAATTAAATTTTCCAGTTTTCAAATTTTTATGCAGGAGGAAACAAAAAATGATGATAATGATAATAATAATGATGATGATGATGATAATTGAGAAATAAAATTTTTTTTTGTAGAAAAAAAAAACATCAACAACATCATCATTTTTTAAATCCGACAAAAAATTTTTATTTTGTTTAAAAAATAAATAAACGAACGAACGAACGGATTTCTTTTTAATAATAATAATAATGATGATGATGATGATGATAAACAATTGTAAAAGCTGTTGGTGTTTTTTTAGGTAAAATCATCATTTGGAAAAATTTATTAAAATTATCGTGTGACCGGAAAACTTTGTATACAAATTCAATGTCATTCCCTTCCGTTTTTATTTCATTGTTTAAATACAAACAAACAAACGAACAAACGACAGCATCATCATCAACATCGCACTTTTTTTTCACATAAAAAATCACGTAAAATTATTATTATTATTATTATTTAACGAATCGACGATTCGTATATGACCAAAGAGAAAAAGAGAAAGAGAGAGAAAAAATTTTTACACGAGAAAACCGTTAAAATAAAATAAAAATTGTTTTTTTTTTTAAACAAATGATAATTAATTAATTAATATTTTAATTACAAACACGTCAAAAAATAATTATTAAAATTATGATAAATTAATAAATAAATAAATAAATAAAATTTTGCAAAATTAACGATTTCGTTTTTGAAAAAAAAAAAAAAACGGGAAAATCGTTAAATAAACGATCGTTTATTATTATAAAATCAATATTTAACGAATCAAATCTTTATGTCGTCTGCTTTTTTTTGTTTGTTTTTATTTCTTACATAAGTTAACAATGTGAATAAAAGAAAAAATTTAACGTTAAATAATAATCGGGAAAGGAAAGTGGGAAAGGAAGGAAGGAAATTGCAAAAGGAAAAATTTTCCGTTGCATTTTTATAAAAAAAAAAAAAAAAATGGCGGAGAGTACGAGGGGTGAAGGAGAGTAGACAACGATGACGACACGTATGTAAAAATCGGGAAATTGAAAATTGCAATTTAAAAAAAAAAAAAAAAAATGTCGAAAGAGGGAGGGGAAAAAAAAAACATTATTGATATTGTAATGAAATTATTAAAGTGTTTTACAACCGGATGTTCATTTCCGTTATTTAAGGACTTTATAAAAATAAAAAAAATGTTTAGGGGTCTAAGTGCCGTTGCTCCTGCTGCTCCTGTTGCTCCTGTTGATGTTGCTTTAACCTCTTCACACAATTTTTAACCTTGTCAAACCTTATTTGAACCTTTTTTCGTCCATACCTTTGACTTTTCCCTTTTAAAAACTCAACAATTCTTTACATTTCTTCAACTTTCTTTTCCTCCTTCTCCGTCTTCTGCTTTTTCTTCTGCTTTTTTTTTATCTTTAATAAAAGAAAATTATTAGATTTATTTTTTCTTTAAAACGTTTTTTTTTGTAAAAACCATAAAATTCTACCAACGGAAATAATAAATAAATAAAATTTTTTTTTATTATTAAAAATCTTTTATTATTATTATTATTGGGAACACAAAAGAAAATATATAAAACCGAAAAAAAATTAAATTATAAATTGGTAAATGCAAAATAAAATATTCTTAGTAGCAGCAGAAGATGATGATGATGATGAAAATTTTTAGTTCAGAAAAGGCTAATAAACTAAATTATGGAGACCATATAATAAAAGCTCTTAAAAGTAATGAACAAGAAAATTTGTTTGTTGTTTTCAAAAAAAAAAAAAAACAGTCAGGGTAGCCAACTTAATCAAAAACATTTCAATAAAATTATAAAGAGAAAAAGAGAGAGAGAAAGAGAGAGATGGAAAATATTATCGGAATATCGTCGTCATTGATTGACAAAAACCTTTCATAAATAAAAAAAAAAAACGGACACGGAAAGTAAAAGAAAAGGAAAGGAAATTAAGAGAGAGAGAGAGAGGGAGGGTGGGTAATAAATAAAAGGGATGAAAAGGGAAACGAAAAATGGGAAGGAAAAAAATTATTCCCGTTTACGAACGGGAACGACGACAGGAGCACTAAAAAAAAAAATTATTTAAGAAACGATTTAACGACATTTTATTACACGTTTACGGGAAACCCTCTAAAATGCGTAAAAAAAACAATTAATAATAATAATAATAATAATAATAATAATAATAATAATAATAATAATAATATTTTTTCTAACGGAAATGGGAAAAGGTTAATTTTCTCCGACCCCAAATGCAACGTTAATCTGCTAAAAAAAAAAATAAAAATTGCTGTCGGCATTTAAAAAAAAAAAATTCAAGGATTTCTTTTTTGTTATTATTATTATTTTTAACGTTTTTTTTCCTTCCCCCCGCACTTTCACCTCCTCTTCCTCCTCATCGTAATAATAATAATTTATAATTACGTAATTTTTATTAGTTATTATTATCATTATGATTTTATTTAAGAAAAAAAAATCGATGTGACGAAATCAATTTTTTAAACAAGCATGGCGGTTACCAATCGACCAATCAGAAAATTTAAAAAAAATACCTTTTTTCTGATTGGTCGACGACTTAATTGTTTGAAAATTTTTAAATTAACAAACGATCGAACGACGCCGCGTTTGTAAATAAATAAAAAATGTTTTTTATTATTGTTATTATTATTATTAAACATTCGTTGGGGAACGAAATTAATTTATTAATAAATAAATAAATATTTAAATAATGAGATGAGATAAAAAAAATGGATGATCATCTTAAATGCGACGAAGGAAATCGTGAACGAAAAAAATTAATTAATTAACAGGTAAGAAAAAAGAAAACAATTATTACGTCACGCGTTTGTTTGTCGATTGTCGTTTGTTTTTTTTTTTAATGTCACAAACACGTATTTATGCACTCGAAAAATAATAATGATAATGATATTGATCATATAATATTAATTTGTTAGATAAATGTTTAAAAAAAAAAAAAATGGTGGCTTTTAACGACTTTGAAACAAAACAACAACAACAAATGGATACAAACAAACAATCGTGAATTTATTATTATCGTATTATATTTGAATAAAAATGTTTGTCGTATTAATTTTTTTTTTTTGATTATCGTTTTGAAAAGTCGTACGACACGACGACATTTTTTTTTTCCTCCTTTTTTTCTCTCAATATTCTTTTGTCTTTGAGAGACGAAACCGTTAAAAAAAATTATTGAGATTATTAAATGATAAAAAGTTGTCGTTGTTGTTGTTGTCGCTGTGGTTGTTGTTGTCGTTGTTGTAACACATGAAATCGAAAAAAAATACGTAAAAATGAAACCTTTAGAAGAGGAAACTACAAAAAGGTAAAAAAAAAAAAATGTCTTATGACGTTTAAGGAAAAAAAAAAGTATTTATCGATTCGTTTTAGAAATACAAACGGGGATGACGAAGACGATGGTGACGATGATGATGATGATGATGATGATGAAGATGATGAAGATGAAAATTCGTTAATAATAAAAAATTTATTAACCGGAAAAGGAAGAACACATTTAGAATATCGATACGAAGAATCTCGTAGAGCATCATTGATTCTTTCTGATGATGATATGAAAAATCCATCAACGTCACGTGATTTTTCAAACGATGTTTCCCGCCGTTTTAAAACAACGTGTAATACAGATGAAGATATCGAAACGAAAATTAAAGAAAATGATAATAAAAAACAGCAGCAACAGCAGCAACCGTTTGAAAAAATGTTTAAAGTAATACGAAGACCGTCATTAGTTGGGATGGAAATGTTTGGTAATTTTAATAAAAATTCTTCCATTTCTTCTGCTACATCTTCTGCTTGTTCTCCTCTCGTAAAAGGAAATCAAACAAACAACAATCAAGGGTGAGTAGAAAAAAATTTTTTTTTAATAATAAAATAACCCTAAGTAAATGTTGTTGTTGTTGTTATGCGAAAAACAGACGAAAAGTTTCAAACGTAAAAATTTCAAACGGATGTAATACATCAAAACCGGAAACGAGTTTTTTATTACACGTTGAACAATCGAAACAAGTAACGACGACGGATTCGCAAAAAAGATTTATTATAAGACGACCATCAGGTGCGATAACTTTTAATCCGGATCAAATAAATATCCATCAAAAAAAATACATAATAGGGTGAGAGACATGAAAAACGTAAATATTTTCACTAATTAGTTATTATTTATTTATTTAATAATAATAATAATAATAATATTAGACTGTTACAGAGAAGTAATAATTCATTACCGGAACTTTGGAAAACCGGAAATCAATTATTAAAAAATAAAAAAAATAAAAAAAAACCATGCACGGATGGAAAGTAAGTGAAAGAAAATTTTAACGTTTTATCCCTTTCCTCCCCCTCCCCTGCTGCCCCCACCACCACCCCCACTTAATTCTAGTATTTTTTGTCTGTTTTAAGCGATGCTTACATGTCGGCCATGTCAGCACTTTATGCGAATTTACTTTGCGTACTCGGTATTGCTTTCCCGGTGACGGAAGTACTTTCACCGCAAGTATCCACACATTTTTATCAAGCTTATTATTTATATCTTTATATTGGTAGCATTGTTTACATGACTTTTATGTACTGCACACTGTTAAAAGATAGAACCGTGCATAAAATTCTAGAAACGTCTACGAGTAAGTTAAACGATGGTATTGTTAAATTATTTGACAAATTTTTTAAATTTCGAATCTTGCAGACGTGGCAGAAGACGAAAATGAGAAAAAAAACGAAAAGGGAACAACACGTACCACTTTTACACCAGCACGTTATGGAAGTTTTTACCTACGTTTGGGTGCTGTCGCTTTCGGTATCGGTAGCATGGTGTATTCCGGTTTAGAATTTGGTGAATATTTCGAATTGAAACAAGATGGAAGTTGTCATAACATAATACAAGCCGTCACACCAGTTTCGAGAATGATATTAACTTTGATTCAAATGCAATTTATATTTCTCAGCAGCAAAGTAAATATTTTTAATAATGATGATACACAATTCCCTGACGAAATAATCGAATGATTTCTGTTTGGGGTGGGGGGCGGAGTAGAAAATGGAAATGTCTAAATATCGTGGAATAACAAAATTCGGTTTGATGCATATGGTAGCAACAAATTTATGCGAATGGTTAAATGTTATAGTGGAAGAAACAAAACATGAAATAATACATTTGGGTCATTTGGAAGATAATTATTACCAAGGTAAAAACAAAAAAAGTCTCCATTATTTATTTATTTATTTATTTATTTATATTTGTTTAAAAAAAAAAAAAGGTGATAAACAATTTTTAACGACGAGAGATTCCGCGGATATTCATGATATTTACGAATGTCGAAGAGCTAATATAATGGGATCCCTCGTACAAGACACGAGTCCTTTTTTATTTCCATGCACCATTGAATACAGTTTGATTTGTGCTGTTATATTATACGAATTGTGGAAAGACGTTAAAAAAGTACCAGGAGATGATAAAAATATGGAGAACGAGGAAAACGCTCATCGTATTCAAAGACAAACGTCATCAGGTTCGACGCCATTTTGTTTTTCTTTCATTTACCCCGTGACGTAATTTTTATCATATATTTTGTTTTTCAAGATGGCGAAATTGAAAAATCAAATCATTTTCTATCCGTCGATTGTTCTTCTGCTCACAAAGGTTTATTTTCTGGTATTCTCGTGCTCGTCATGACAATAATAAGTTTGATTATGTTTTTCGTCATGACGAAAGATCCGATTTATCATAATTTGGCGGGTTACGAAGTCAACGTGTGCGAACTCATTGTTTATTGCGTGACGACAATTTCCGTTATTGTCGGTGGATGGCAAATGAGATATTTTAAATATAAATTAAATAATAGAAGTGAGACGAATTTATTTTTTAATTTTACCGGAAGTATACACACTCTATGAATTTTATAAAAAAAAAAATTTTGGGTTTCAGTTCACGAAGGTATCGGACTCGATAATATTTTACTTATGTGGGCTCAAACGGGAACTTACATATATTGCATGTTTTCTATAATCGCCTGTTACTTTATGATCGATCATAACGCGCCAGGAGGTTTGATAACGGAATCGTGCGCTCTCATACAAACAACGTGTCAAACTGCGTTCATATTGGATGCAACGTTCAGGAGAACGAATTCGTTGGAAGAACATAAAAAAAAACGAGGACGTCAAATCGTTACTTTTTTACTTGTTGCCAACATGACGTTATGGTTATTGAACACGTTTCAAAAAAATAAAGCCGAATTTCATCCGACTCATTTAGAATTTTACGGTGTTTGGGCATGGACAATAATCACACACGTTTCAATGCCTTTGGCTATTTTTTATAGATTTCATTCGACTATTTGCCTTTTTGAAATATGGAAAAACGTTTATAAATTTAAACAAAATAATAATTACGTTTGATGCCATCCATATTTGTTTTTCAAAAACCTAACTCGTAAAAAAAGAATTACGTCATCATTCGGTACGAGAAAAAAATAATATAATAATAATTATTAATGAAAAAAAAATTAAAAATTTTTTTTTTCCACCCTTCTCTTAATTTATCTTTCTCTCTCTCCACTCTCTATCTCTCTCTTTTTTTTACAAAAGGTTATTTTATATCTGAGTTTATGTAAAAAATTGAATTTGTGGCTAACGAAACATCTCAGTTTGTTATTAAGTAAGTAAATGACATTAACCCCATGTTGTCAATTTAGATATAATTTTAAAAAAGGGGGTTTATTTTAATATATGTTTTATAGAAAAACATTCTTTTTTTTTTTTTTATAAAACAAAACAAATTTTTTCTTATTAATATGTGATTGGTTGAAATTGATTGAAAAATCGCCGCCATTTTAACGAAACACCTTATTCCGGAAAAAATAAAACGCAAACCATTATTAATATTTTCATAGGAACGATTTTTTAATTTTTATCATCCTTTCTTTCCCGCCCCCTTTCCTCCCCCTTCCCTCCTCCTTTTCTCCCTTTCCTAAAGTTTAAAATTTTAGTAGTAATAATAATAATAATTGAATGTAATTTACCATCGTCCATAAATAAAAAATATCATAAGAAATCTCAAATTCTTCATTTACTCAAAAACGTTTTGTTTTCCCCTCCCCTTCCCACCCTTCTTAATACGAATGTTTAAAAATTTGTCGCCATTTTAAAAATTTACTCGACAAACGATTTGTTAAAATATTTTTTTTTTAAATCAATAATAATAATAAATAAATAAATAAAAAATGCAAATTTTCATTTGTTTTTTTTCTTTTTTATTTTATTGCCCTTGAATTTTTTTTTGTAAAACTCGTTAAAATCATTATTATTATTATTATTATTATTATTAATCATTTCATTAATAACAAATGTTAATGTTTAAAACAAAGACTTTTTTTTTTTTTAAATATTTATACAATCAATTTATTTTTTTTTTTTTGCATGATAATTAACGGCTACATGCCGCCATATTTAATACCGGGGAAAAATTATTATTATTTTGAGATTTTCATTACATTTGTGATTTATCATCGATCAAAAAAAGTTCGATTTATCGATCGATCGATTTTGTTTTATAATAAAAAATAATGTTGGGATAATGAGAATCGATAATGAAAAAAGTGAAGATTTAAGAGTACAAATACCGACATTATCGAACGTTTTTAACGGTCGACTCCGAGTATCCAATATGGACGACGATTTATTATCAAGTTCAATGCCGAGAGAAGAAATGAATAATCGTAAAATGAGCAATACGGAAACGGAAAGTCTAGAACATATTCAAACGATATTAATCAGACATCATTCAGAGTAAGTTATCGCTTTCTTTCGTTATCACTCTCTTCTTTTTAAAAACGCCATTTTTGTTTTTCATTTACTTTTTCCAGCGAATATTTAACGACCATATTATCAGCCATTTATGGAAAATTATTAGTTGTTATGGGTGTTGCTTTTCCAGTTATACATGCATTGACATCAGATAATGCCGCGAGATATAACGTAATTTAACCGTTTTTTTTTTTTTTTTTGAAATATTTTTCCTAAATAAAAAACATTTAATTGAAATTTGAATTTTTCCAGGGATTTTACTTTTATTTAAATTTAGGTAGCATTATATTTCTTTTATATACTTATGCATTGATGATGAAAGAGGAAGCACTCACGACAGGATCCGAAATAAACGGTTACATACAGGGAAGAGGTCACACATTTGTCAAAAGTCAAGTTAGATATGGTAGTAATTATTTAAGAATGGGTGTTGCTGGTAAAAAAAACATTTTTTGCTATAGTTTAAAACAATAAAACCTTAAAAATCTTAAAAATATTAAAAAAAGAAACACTCTTTCTTTCAGGTTTTGGAATAGGTAGCATGATATTTTCAGGTCTTGAATTTGGTAAATTTTTCGAAACTAAAAATTCATACGAATGTAAAAATATATTAATTGCAATTTCACCACTTTCTAGAATAATATTCGTTTTGATGCAAATGTTATTTGTATTTTCAAACAATAAGGTAGGTAGGTAGGTAGGTAGGATAACAAAAAGTCTTTCCAGTTATTTTTTTAAATAAAATCTATTTAAAATAATTTATATATGTTTTAGTTGATGGGTAATCGTTTGTACAAAGTCATTGCTAGATTTGGTTTGATGCACATGATAGCAACAAATCTATGCGAATGGTTGTATGTCCTAGTGGAAGAAACAAAACAAGATATAATGCATTTACAAAGTTTAAGAAGTGATAGATCAACTGATTTGGGTAAGTTAAATCTTATCTCCTCCCCTCTCTCCACCCTCAAAACAAAGATTTGCAATAGTTTGACTAATTGATACCTTTTTTTTTTACAGAAAACTGGAACTATACTGAAAGTTTTGGAAAAAATGATAGTTTAACATCACAACCGTTATCATGTTGGGACACTATTATAATGGGATCATTACTTAAAAATTCAAGCCCTTATTTATTTCCATGTACCGTTGAATATAGCCTTCTATGTGCTGTCATTTTGGCAGTTATGTGGAATAATATATGCAAAACAGATTATTATGGCCTTATTAAGTACTATTATTATTAATATAATTAAGTTTAAATGTACTTAATGAGATTGATTGATTGATTGATTGATTTTTATAGAACTGATAGAAGAAAAGGAAGATTGGGAATATTAAATGAAAGAGGTATAATGCTTTTAAAAGATAAACAAAGTGGAGTTAATATTATTTATAGTAGATCAGTACATAAATTTTCTGTGGATTGTGCCAGTTCACATAAAGGTAAAAAAAAAAAAAAAAATTATTTAAATGTGGTTTTTTATAAATAATTATTTAAATTTTTGTGTAAATGTAGGTTTATTTTCTGGTATATTGATTTTGGTACTGACAATAATATCACTAATAATGTTTTTCGAATTGGCCGAAATGAATATCGAATTGGCGGTTTTACAAGTAAGTGTCATTAAAATAAATTATTTTAACATAATTAATTGATTGATTAATTTAATGATAATTACGATGTGATAAAATTCGTGGATTTTTGTAGGTTAATATTTGGGAAACTGCTTTATTTGGGATAGCAATCACTGCTACCGTGGCTTGTGCTGTGATTTTGAGAAATATCGGTTTCCGCACGAGGCATAGAAGATTTGAATTAGAACACATTTTGTTACTCGTGACACAATGTGGAGTTTTCTTGTATTTTCTATTTCAAATTTTGGGTGGGTATTACACGCTGCAACACGGTACCAAAGGAGATCATTGGAAAATATTGAGATTGGTGACGCCGATTGCATCATTGGTACAAAGTTCGTGTCAGACAATTTTAGTTCTCGATGCTTGGAGAAGGCGGTGCAGTACGCCATCACAAATAAAAAAAAAACCCGGAAGAGAACTTGTGACTTTTTTAATCATCGTTAATTTAGCGCTATGGGCCATTAATAGGTAAAATAATATTTTTAAAAACCTGCGATTATATTTTTCGATGAAACTTACAAGTTTTTCTTAAACGTAAATGTTCGAGATAGGTTGAAAAATAATTCAGCAGAATTTCATCCGATGCAAATGGAATTTTATGGTATTTGGGCATGGACGGTTATAACGCACGTATCAATGCCACTCGTCGTCTGCTACAGATTTCAATCGACTGTTTGCTTATACGAAATATGGCAGCACGTATATAAATCGACACCATCTCAAAAACCTGAGCCTCCATCAAATAAATTAGATGCTACACAAACTTTAATTTAATTAAAAAATTTACTTCTTTTTTATTGTTAAAAAAAACGTTGATTTCCGTTATTAATTACAAAATCATAATTTGAATATTAATAAAAGTTATTTTTGATTAAAAAATTGAAAAACCCGTAGGGTTTTCAATACATGATATTTTTTGCAATTATAAACAATAATTTTTATAAACAAAAACTTTAATTTTGAAAATTCTTCGATTACTTTACTATTAATTTTTAAAATATTAACTTCATTTGAACCATATTTTCAATATTCCCGCCAACGTTTATCCGTGAAAGATGATTTTTCGGGGCCCTATTTTTTAAATCATTAATAAGTTTCTCCATTCTGGTTATTTAGTAACCGAAAATTTTTACTTTACTTTTAAGTATTTTTTGTGTGAAAAAGTTTATTTTAAAACAATCTATTTACTAAATGTTTTATAAACATTAATTTTAATTAAAATTATAAAATAATATGTTAGCCAGAGCTGTTATAGGTCTAACTTCTTTGGTTAGAAAATCATCATCTTCAGCACCTGTTACAAATAATTCTATTAATCCTTTTGTAACTAATAGAAATCCTAAAAATTTAGAAAAATTAAGACTTCAAAAAAAACCATGCGGATATTCAGTAGATAATGAGGACGTGGAGTATTTTCACAGGTACTAATTATTAAACATTTTGTTTTTATTATTATTATTCATTAATATAAAAACTTTCCTTTGTTGAATATTTTTTGTAAAACTTTTATTGTATTTTAGAATTGAAATAGAAGAAGGAAAACATTTTGTAACTGCCAGATTAGTTCATTACACTGAAGAAATTTTACTCGAAGCATCAACACGTGAGTGGGCTCTTAGAAAACATTTATATTCTGATACTGATACACAAGCATACATACTATTAGCCAAAGTATTTGCAGAAAGATGTTTAGAAACAGGAATAATGAATTTTAAATGTTTTTCTGTACCTGAACATGAAAAAACCAAGGTAAATATTAATCGTTTTAAATATATATCGTCAGGTATTAGTTTTTGACCATTATTTTCGTGTTGAGGAAGAAATGCTTAAAAACAAAGTCTGTAATATATTATTCATGTCAAATATTATTTAATTTATATTCTTAGTAAGCAATATTTAACATTTTTTTTATGTTTTTAGAAAAATATGTTTTTCAATATTTTAAAAGAGGAAGGTTTAACTCTGGAAGAAATGCCTTATTATGATATTCATGATATTTGGAAATTTAAGAGGGAAAAGAAACCTTGGACTGTTTTAGAAGATTAAAATTTATCTATTTAAGTTAATTACAAAATCAGATGTTTTTTTATTTTATAGTTCACTAATATAAAAAATTTACATTTAAATACATATAAAAAATATACCAAAAAATGAATTGTAAAAATAGTAATTGTATTAAAAATGTTATTACTTTGCGGTTTTAAATAGTTTAACCATTTGAAAATTAATTGTAATTCATTTTTGATAAAAATTAATTGAAAAAATTTAAGAACATATTTTTCAAATGTCTGGATGAAAAATAATTGATTATTTCAATTTAATTAACGAAAAAGTAGTAAATTTGGTAAAAGTATTAAACAGAATTGGAAGGTATACAATTTTTATTAACAAATTTAATTTAATTTAACAGAATGTTATGAATTTGGTAAATCAACTTAAAATTTAATTTACAAAAGGTAAAAAAAAAAAAAAAGGAAAATAATAATAATCAGATATAAATCACTGAAACTGAAGTAATGAGCATTATTGAATAAAGCATTGATCTATTAGTGGCCATATTTCTGAAATTCCCATTCTCTATTATCCAAAGGACAAACTTGTCTAGTTTTTAGCCATCTTGAAATGCAATGAAAATGAAAAGCATGCTAAAATAAAAAACATTTTTTTTTTAATTATAACGTTCATTTAAAAACTGCAGTCAGTAGTAATTTGTAAAAAATCTTTTTATTTACATTACATAACCCCCAAGCAACGGTACATTCTTCAGATGTTGCTGAAGCTTGATTTGCTTGACATTCTATACATAAATCCATAATATGATTCCGACAAATTGCGCAATTGTCCACTACAATATCTGAAAAAAAAAAAAAAAAAAAAAATTAAGTAAAACGGTATTATTTAGAAAGATAAAATTAAAATTCACATCGACATTAAAAACTGTCTACTCACCCCAAGCCCAAAGTGCTACAGCATTCCACTAAAACAAAAAATATAAAGAAATAAATAAACAAAAATGAATTTAAAATAAAACTTTGAAGTCTAAAAAATATTTTTAAAATGTCTGTGTTACCTTTTTTACTTCAAATCTTTTTTTTTCCAATTTATTTGTGCTAACACTGGGCATTTCTTCTTCATCGTCGACATCCATTGGTAATGTAGCCATTTTCTGAAAAGTTAGTTCAAAAACAAAAAAGAGCGTTCAGTAATGTTTTGACGTTGCCAAATTTCTTTTTTTTTTAATCAAATGGAGAATACTACATTTGAAATTATATAATTTCATTTGTAAAATCTATTCATAGATAATGAACGTTTTCAAATAATTTATTTCTTATAAATATTCACTTAAACATTGCTTTCACGACTTTCTTTAAAAATATATATATTATTGTGTTAAAAGATTTTTTTCAATTTCAATGTTAATAATGAAAGATACACGTCAACACTATTTTAAATTCAATAAATTATTTCTTAGCGAATTAATTTTTGTATTATTATGTTTTTTGTCGATAATTTGTGCCGGTAATGGTCAAATTCGAAGGAAAGAGGTAATACAAATTAAACAATTGTAATTTTTTTTTTAATTACCACTTTTCTAACCTCACCGCGTAAATGATTTAAATTGATTTTAGGGTATGACATTAAACGAAAGATATCAAGATTTGATAGCAGCAACTCAGAAAAAATCGATAATTCGAATAACTGGATCTACTTTTAAAGAATATGTTAGAACTTCACCAAGAAATTATTCAATGATAATTATGTTTAATGCCATGGCGCCTCAACGTCAATGTATTATATGTAGAATTGCTAATGAAGAATATCAAATTGTTGCTAATTCTTTTAGATATTCTCAAGCATATTCTCACAAATTATTTTTCGGTTTAGTCGATTTCGATGAAGGAACCGATGTTTTTAATATTGTTTGTATAGTTTATGAAATCTCCCACTTATTTTACATTATTTAAGTTATTAATTTTTTTTTTATTATGTTATTAGATGAAGTTAAATACTGCTCCTGCATTTATTCATTTCCCACCTAAAGGAAAGCCTAAACCTGCAGATACAATGGATATACAAAGAGTTGGATTTGGAGCAGAAGCAATTGCTAAATGGATAGCAGATAGAACAGATGTACAAATAAGAATATTCAGACCTACAAATTATGCTGGAGCTGTTGTCTTTTCATTAGTCGTTTCTATAATATGTGGAATTCTATATGTGAAACGAAACACAATTGACTTCTCGAAATTCTACAATAAAAACCTATGGGGTACATCTGCTTTGGTAAGTTTTCTGAAAATATTTTTTTTATGTAACATGTCTAACTATTTTTATTATAATTTTAAATATTTTTAAAAGTTATTTACACTGGCAATGGTATCTGGACAAATGTGGAATCATATAAGATCACCACCATTTGTTCACAAAACGCAAAGTGGAGGAATTGCATATATACATGGTTCATCGCAAGGGCAATTTATTTTTGAAACTTACATCATAATCGTATTTGGTATCCTTTTCAAAATTTTTAATTTTAATAATATTTATCATGGTACTAAAACATTTTGGTAGTTGAGAATTCAAATTAATAACCCCCACAATTATGAAAATATTTATTATTATTTTAAATTTTTATACCATTTATTATTATTTTTTTCCTTAATTTAATTAATTCAGAGGGTTTAATGGTACTCGGTATGATTTTAATGACAGAAGCAGCACAAAGAAAAGGAGATGTGACCAAAAGGCAAGCTCTTGCTATAACAGGTTTATTCTTATTTTCAATTTTTTACAGTTTTGTACTAATAGTGTTCAGATCAAAAGCTCACGGTTATCCTTACAGTTTTTTATTTAAATAGGAAAATGTAATAAAAATAAATTTATTTAAAAACATTTTTTCAAGTTTTTTTTATTAACCTTTTTTTTTTTTGTTTTTTAAGTAACAAATAAAGTAATTCATAACAATTAAATAAATATTTCATAAAATTATTATAACGCTTATATTTTATTATTATTATTAATAATAATAATAAAAAAATTAACAATAAATGCTGTTTACGATTTTAAATAAATATAAACTTTGGTATTTTTTCGAGGAGATGAATAAAAAAATTGCAAGCTCATTATTTTTTCGATAATAAGATTTTTGTAAATATTTAATAATAATTAACAAATAATTTTATATAAAAAAATATTTTATATGAGCAAATAAAATTAAACATAAAAACATTTAAAGTACAAATGGTAGAAATGCTTTTCTGGTTTTCGGATAATTTTTAAATGTTTTTTGATACCACCAATGATTTAACAATGATGTTTCAACTTGATTACTCAAAACCCAAAAGAAAACATATTTAAATGTTTGATTTTTATATAAGATGAGATATATGGATAAATACATTAAAACTTCACATGTTAAATGCGGAGATGAAATATATTCGAATAATCCACCTCTTGGAATTTTGTGTTCTGTTGTAACAACATTCCCAGTAAAATTTCTTCTGAGATAAGATAATATCCTAGCCGATTTATACTGATTGATCCAACCAAAGCAAAACAATACAATTCCAAATCCTTGTATTGGGTTCAAAGATGTTTGTGTAATTAAGCTACCTGAAAAATTACATTATTGCAATGTTAATTTTTTGTGACGATAAGTTTAATTTTTTGTAAATGAATTAAAAAATGTATTGACCTTCTTTAAATCCAGATGCTTCTCCTAAAATAATTGTAACTGTGGCCCAATAATGAATATAACCAATCAAATATTGTGAAAGATTAATATTACCCTTGGAAAAAACACTTAAAAACCATGTTTCATAAAATCTACGAAATGACTGTAGTGTCAAAAGTGTGAGTGCAATTATGATTGCATTCATGTCACCTAAAATAAAAAACTCAATTGTTAATTCGCGATTTTAGTTAAATTTTTTAAAAAAATCGAATAATATTGCTTACAATCTGTGCTGCGTGTAGATCCACACAAAAAATCTAAATAAGAAAGTAACCATTTTGGCGGTGTAGCGTCATATAGATAAACGTCAATTGCAAAATATAATGCACATACGCAGTATACGCTAGCAAAAACGTAGAAATGTTTAAACCAGCTTTTGGGTACTTCAATTACTTTTAATTTTGACGGTTTTCCTCTGTATGCGAATTTCCCGTAACGAAACGTTTGCGAAACAAAAACTGGTATATAATTTTCAAAATAGTTAATCATACTACCCAATATGAGAATAGTAAAAGTCATAAATAACATTATAAGTTGGAGATAATTCACGTCAGGTAGTTCCATTTTGTTAATTTATTTGCAACACAGCAACAAATCAAAACTGCAACTGATTGCTTTACTGGTACTTTCTCTTAGTGCATGTAAATCGGTCAACTTTCTCTTGCTAAAGTGACCAAAGAATTTCTTTTATTATAAAAAAAATAATAAAATAAAATAAAGGGAATTACATATTTCGTAATGTATAAAAAGAAAAAATCCCATTTACTGTATAAACGGTCGAAAAATATCAATCATCATTCATTTTTGTTAATAATTTACAAAAGTTATAATAAAATATTAATTACAATTTGATGTAAGCGCCGCCATTTTTTTTAGGGCCCTTTTTTTTTAAACGGGAAGCCAACATTAAACTCCATTACTATTCCATCATTTCACCGCGAAACACCGTTTCGAATAAATTTTTTTTTCTTCACTCATTTTCTTAAAAACGATTTGAAAAAGTATTTTAAATTAATTTTATAATAGTGGTTTTGAAAGTTTAAGTAAATTTAGTGTATTAAACAAAGCATAAATTATCTTTGGCCCCGTTCCCTGGTGACACAGCATTCGTAATATGGTAAGTTCGTTATTTTAAGGAAAAATTTAATATTAAAAATGAATATATAATGAATTTATAGAAGTTAACATAATTAATATAAATAAGTTCTTTAAAACCATGATTTTAATAAACTCTTTCTATAAACAGAACTTTGATTTTGTTTTTTTTTTTTCAATATTATAAATATAGATGCAATTATATACATACATGAATTTATATATATATTTTTAAGACTCTTAATCTGTACATGCTTAGGAAAATTTTCATATTTCATTTTAATCACATTTAATTTTATTATATTTCATTATCCTTCACCTCCCTTAGGTGAACTAGATATAATTTCTCTTCTTTTCCAAATAGATTGTGTTTTTGGAGTAGTTTGAGTTGTCAATGATTTTTCACTCATATCAGGTATTTGCTTGGTTGGATGTCTTGAATCCGTGTATCGCCTTTTTGAATATTTTTTCTCAGCATCAATTTTTGTTGTTGTAATTTTCGTTTCAGACTTGCCTTTAGTTTTTTTCACATCCGGTTTGATTTTTAACATTCTTTCAATGTCAGCAGTTTTTGATCTCATAACTGCTCCTCCAATATTTGTTATGCTAGTGGTAACTTTTCTATTCAAATCTCCTGAATCACTTTCAATCTCAACCTTTTTACTTAATTGACTAGAACTTGCACTTTTTGTTAAAGTTTCAGTGACAGGTAAGCTACTTGTTCCACCTACTAATGAATGCACTCTTTGGTATAAGTCTTTGGTAACAGATTTATTAGAGGTTTCATATTTTTTATCATTTTCCTCTTTATTTTTTTGTACTTCTAACGTTTTAGATACTACATCTTTTAATTTTATCTTTTCAGTTTTCTTTTGATTTTTCAACATGGACGTACGAACGAAATCATCATCTAAATCGTCTTTTTCCGATAAATTTGTTTGCATGCTGTCGGTTAAAGCTTTTGCTGGTATACATATTCGACCTATGGTAGATATAGATATATCATCCGATTGATCATCGATAGTCGACGTTTGACTTTGTGGTGATAACGGTGGAGATGAACCCCAAGAAGGAGGAGAACTAAAACATTCTCTGTCGTTACTAGAAGAACACAGAGATGAAGTTGCTGTATGCCTAGGAGGTGAGCTAAACGTTCCAGAAGATCCCACAGCTGAATCATAACCTAAACATGACAAAACTTCATTACCTTTTAATTCCAATTTTTTTTTTTTAAGAAAAAGAACTTTTATAAATTTATTACCACTTGCTCCTTGACTAAATGGAAACGAACTTGTGACTGCTTGAACACTAACTGGTATAAGTGTCGTATCACTTTCGTTTGTAGATTTATACCTAGATGAACTACTACTATAACTTACTGATGATTTATTACGCATCGTACCTGAACAACGTAAAAAAAAAAAAAAAATTTTTGTTAAAATATTCATGAAGTTTTTTGTTTTTTTTTTTTTTTTTTTGTATTACTTACTAAATGACAATTGATGCTTTGAACCTTCAGTTAAATTATTATTATCTTCAATGAAGGGTATATCGCTGTCATCTAAATTAAGAGCAAATGAACTTGTGGGAATTGTCAAACTCGCTTTTAATATTCCACTACTTTCTAAAATGGCCGAAGAATTATGTTCATCATCAGAAGATTTCATTTCTGATGATTGATAATCCGTCGTCCATAATTTTGAATTCGATTCTCTTCTGTTTCGTCTTATCAAACCCGTTTTACTTCTGTCTCTTTCTCGAGTTCTAACAAAAAAAAAAAGGTTTCCACGTTTAAACATAAACTTTTTCTTAAAATGATAATGATATTAATAATAATAATAATAATAATAATAATAACCTAAAACCGGTATCCATGTCGAATAATTCAAATGCACTTTTCTCATGTAAAAACTGTTCCCTGGAATAAATTTTTTTCTCTTTATCAACTGTTGGATCCGTTGTTGTTTCGTTGAATGTTTTTGGACTTTGTGGAAGTGAAGAACTATCACTACCCGTACCGATTTCTTCCAGTGCTTCCGAATCCTGATCATCCAAAGTTCTAAATTAATTAAACATATTTGTTATTATTGAAATTTTTGATAAAATTTATTTTAAAAAAAAATGTAAAACTCCACTTACTCATCAGCTGTTTCTTTTTTGCTTAATAGTTGATCCAATGCTTCTGAATTATTATCCATCATGTGAAGATAAATTTCATCCATCATTTCCGGTGAAACCTTAAGAAACAATAAAATCATCACCGGAAGAAAAAAAAAAAAGGAAACGAGTTTGTTTTTTCTTCGGTAAGTTTCTTTTTTTTTTTTTTTTTTTATTTACCTGAAATAAGCTTTTGTTATGATCGATCATACTTCTGATGACATTAATAACGTCTATTCTTTCTTCGCAGCTTTCAGCGGATAAGGATTCTTTGGTCACAGCACCTGCCGTACGACGATGTAAAATATTTGGTGCGAATAAAGTTGCCAAATTATTACTGTCCATTTTATTACCAGGTACGATTTCTCCTAAAAACGTATTTTTTCAAAAAAAAAACAAAAGGTTTAGTTTTAAGTTTTCACGATAAAAAATTAATAATAATAATAATAATAATAATAATAATAATACTACCTAAATGATTTTTACGATCGTCGGAATTTGTCGCAATCAATGATAAAAAATTTAAAAGAGACCATAAAGTGTCCCTGTTTGAAACAGGAAGTAATTGAATTAAATGCTGTAAAGCTTCAAATTGTAATTTCCTATTTCTCAATTCTGTTGTAATTAAAATAAAATAAAATAATTAATTATGATGGAAGGAAAAGAATGAAAAAAAAAAAAAAAATTAAATATTTACTTTGAGTAAGAACGAAAGCCTGATATAAATCCTTGCAAAGCAATGGATCCGGGAGATCTCGGAAATATTCTTTTAACAATGTTGCCACATCATGAGGACAATATTCGTCCAAACAAATTTCTTTCCCTGAATCAAAACTTTCTCTAAGCTAAAAAACAGAAAAAGAAAGAAACGGTCGTAAAAAAAAATTCTATTGTTGTTATTTTTAAACCATCCATAAAAATTATTATTATTATTATTATTATTATTAAAAATAACTGACTAACTTGTCTAACTCTTTTCTTCGAACTTGATACTCTAAATATTCCTAACGTGTGTAAACCGTGATTTTCGATATGCCTGAGACAAGAAGACACGATATTAGGTACTATTGGTTCATTTTCGGCAGTGTTTAATGATATATTAGCCGTTGATCCGATTGATATGGCATCGAGTAAACCAGGTACGCTACTACTACCTAAACTATCCGTCGATCCTGCACTCTGACAATAAAAAAAATTTAAATTAAATTCGTGATGGATGAATGAAAAAAAGAAAAAAAAAGAGAGAAAGAGAAAGAGTAAGAGAGAAAAATGTGAAAATTTCATACTTTGAATATTGTATATATGTAATGTTATTTAATAAATCTATTTTTAATACAAAAAAGTGCTTTAACATGATTTCAATACTTGCGTCCAATGCTAAAAATACACAAGAAAAAGATGAAGATGATGAAGATGAAAAAAAAGAAAGAAAGAAAGCTTTTAAGAGGTCATCCAAAATATGTTTTCTTAATCGTCGTTTCAACTCAGGGGTGTGAAAAATTGTTTTTAATTTTTTTAATTTTTTTTTTTTTTTTTTACAGTTTAACACCCTGTCGTGTGGTTGGTACCATGTGTCGTCGTAGTAGTATAAAACTTACCTCATCTTGTGGTCGTGGTTCAATCAACGAACTGAAACTCGTTCTACTTCCGTGGTAAGTTTTTTTTTTCAACTCCGTATCGGAGTCATATGGGAATGTTAAATTTTTATTTTTGAATGACATCATTACGTTGGAACAACTCGAATTTCTCGTAAGTCTTTCATTTTCAATGCATTGACTTAAAGGTACGCCAAATACCATACCCCCAGTCGTCGTACCGGTATTCGTCGGATTCGTCGGTTCTATAATAATAATAATAATAATTGTTATTAGCATTACGATATAATGGGAAAGAGGTGTAATGGTATAATAATAATAATAATAACCTTTGTCCTTTCCACGATTCGTATCGAAAAAACTCGTCGTTATTGCTTTTCTCTTGAGCAAATGTGGTCTTCTTTTTGTTTTTGTTTCGATCGCTGGTGTCGCCACCTCTGGTTAAAAAATTTTAATAAGTAAGAATGAAATTTTTTTTGTTATTTGTTGTTATTGTTGTTAATGTTTGAGACGTATATTATTTACCCGAGGGAATTTGAATATTGCAACCGATGTTCAAAGCTTGCAATTTAGCCAATGCAACTTTTTGAAGTATCCGCCTTTCTATTTCGGATAATTGAAAAATATTTGTTTCCGTTAATGTAACTTGTTTTCCAACGAGATTCGACCAAACGCAATTACCCTGTAATTTAATAATATATTTATTATGAAGAAAACAACACGCAAAAAAAAAAGAAAATTTTTACTGACCAGTGGTGTCCAAGAACATGGCTGAGTCGTTGATAACCTACTCTGACTTTTACTTCTTCCTCTCCATATTTTTTTCGAAACTAAATTTCTTCCGACGCTCGTTGAACTTTTTGATTTCTGCATAGCTGTTGGTAAAACCGTATTTTTATCAGTCGTGTGTTGAAGGCCGTGAAATAAATTAGATAGAAATAATTGACCGGAAGAAAGTAAACCGGTTTTCGGGTGAGGTCCTGCCGAGGATGTTAACGAATCACCGCCATGTTTAATTTTATATTCTTTCGTTTCGCACACGGTAATAACTTCTTTGCAATCATCGTAGGCCATCCAACTGTCGTCCATTTTGAAATCTTTGAGTGCTTTTATCCAGGATTCACCGGATTGACAACCTTTATCGAGTCCATCGTCGTTTCCGATACCATCCGCACTCTCTTTCGGTTTTATATTTCTTAAATTTTCATCGTAGTTGATTGTTTTAAATCTATCTTTTTTATCCGAATCCACGGATTTTTTCCTTGCCATTTTAAGGTATCTTTTTATCGTGTCACCAACCGAAGGACTCACGTCATCGTGATCCAAACTACTTCGGCGAGTTTTTGGAGTTTTATTCGGTTGTTGTTCTTTAACGTTCGACTTAACGGATTCCTCTTCGATTTTTTTCAATTTTTCTTCAATCGCTTTCATCATGTCCGGATGTATTTTCAAAGTTTGAATACTTTTCGTGATTTTCAATATTACCTCTTCGTCTTCTGCCACGGTCGGCGTGATTGTTTCCGACGGCGATGATAAACTCATATCATCCATACCTTTACTTATATCTTGAACGTTGACGTGAAAATTTTTTTTATCAATCGTCAGCAGATCTCTGTTTGTATCTTTGGTCGCGAATCCTCCGGATCCTCTTTCCGGACGGTAAACGTTACCCGATCTGAAACCTCTCGTTTTTCTCAAATCGAAATATAATTTTTCCAACATTTTCCTATCCGTCAGTAAATTACTTATGACAGCTTCTCTGTTGGTCGATTTTCTATAATGACGTTTGAGAGTGTTGAGGAGTTCTCTTTGAGAAGGTTCGGGTATGATTTCGCCGTAGGTTTTGTGATTCAATTGTTTTTGCATGCTTTGAACTTCTTCCAGGTACTTTTGCAACTTGTCGAATAATTCTTCGTGATTTAATTTTTTTTTTAACGTCGATTCGTCGTTGACTCGTAGGAAATTTTCCAATTCCGTGATCAATTCATCCTCGGCCTCTTGTTTGTGTTCGGACAGTTTCATCAAATCGAACCTTCCGGTTCCCGCGGGAGTCATGAGCATTTTTCCCGTCGATGGATTTTTACCAAATCTTTTTATATCTTCGGCTTCATCCGCACTGCTCGCTTTTTCTCTCACGCTACCACCTTTGATCCGGGGTCTGGTTCTCCGACCGTGAGTTCTCAATCCCAACGCTCCCGGATAACTGCTTTTTCTCCACAGTAAAAATTTAGGTTCTCTTTGACAAACCTCTTGGAAATAAGCTTCGATTTTGGGTATGTCTTCTTGCCGGTTGTGAACGCCGTCCGGAATAAGTTTTCTTCCCGCATCCGTCATGTACCTCCACGTTTTTCTCGTCAGTAGCCATCTTTCTCTTTTTGTTTTTTTTTCTTTCAAAACGAGAGGAGATGTTTCGACTTTGGGTTTACCCATGTTTGAAACAATATCGAAATTTGTCGTTTTCAAAGCAGATCGATTGACGGTTATTTTATTGTTATTCGATTGACGAAAACGAGTTGTTTCCATTTTACGGCCGCCTATGGGGCCCCTCTTTTTGTTTCAACGAGGTATGAAAAACGCGATATAATAAATCCAATGTTTTTTTTTTTTTTTTTTTTTTTTTCCTTTCCAAACAAATTTTTTTATTACCCCCCCCCCCCCCCCCATTTTTTTTTTCCCCCAAACGAAAAATTTTTTTTCCACCATTTCCTTTACCATTTTTTTTTATTAAAAAAAAAAAAAAAAAAAAAAAAAAATTTATTTTTTTTTATTTTTTTTAAAAAACCCAACCCAA